GAAACAGATTTATTCAATCACTTTTGAACATACACCATGTCCTAGGCAGGTGTCCTATACTTTGAGTCTTCCTGAAGTCTTGATCTCCACACAACATAATATGTAATGTTATTTGAACAGCATAATTCCTTTCTATTTTTTTTTTCTTCCACAGTCAAAATATATTTATCCCTTGTATAATACAGCAAGAAAAAAGAGCAACTAATCTTCTGAGTCCCATTTACCAATGTGTTTCTTAAATTGTTGGTCCAAATTGGATGTAGTACCCTAGACATGACATAACAAAATGTTGAGGGGGATAATCACTGGCTGTGCTCCTCTTATTACAGCCTAACACGTTCTCAGCCTTCTTTGCTACTTAGGCACACTACTGGATCCTGTTCAGCCTGCTGTGCCCACAAGAACTTATCCAAGTCCTTTCTAGCAGAGCTGCTCCCCAGGCAGTTGGTCCCTAGCCAGCAGAGCTGTACAGGGTTCCTCCTTCCCAGGCGCAGGACTTCACATTTGTCCCTGTTTGGGCTCCTGAGGTTTCCTTCCACAAGGCAGCGTCCCTCTGGATGGCAGCCCTGTCCTCAAGCGCATCAACTTCATGACCCTGCCTTGGAGAGTGCACTCCAGTACCTCCCTCAGGTCACTGATAAAGATGTTAAATACAAGAGGTCACAGTACAGGCTCCTGTAGCATTCTGCTCATTACCAACATTCAGGTGGATTGCCACCTATTAGCCACTACTCCCCAAGCTTCATCCTCCAACCAGTTGTGTTTTTTTTTTAAATCATCTACTTGTTTAGCTGTCCAGACCACAATGCCCTACCTGGGACAGAAGACTTCCATGGAAAACGCTGTCTTCAGCAGGGCTTTTGACAACATAAATAGTGTGCGCTGCCTTCCCCTGCACACAAATGTAGTGAATTATTCATAAAAGGCAACCACACTCACTAGAGATGATTTGTCCCTGCTGAATCTGTGCTGACTTTTACCAAATCACCTCTTTCACGTGGCCAAAAATGTGTTCCAAAACTTGTTCCAAGACTTTCCCTGGGACCAACACAAATCTGTCCACCCTGTAGTTCCCTGGCTGTATCTCTGGGGTTGGTTTTTTGTTGTTTTGTTTGAAGAGGGTGCTCCCTGCAGGGAACATTCTTTAACATTCTTTTATCCCACATAATTTAAGGCTAGAAGCCATGAAGTACAGCCTTAATAAACTTCATCTGCTATCATGTTGACTATTTGGCTTTTAATCTACTAATTAGCATTTCTGTAACCAAGATAACATGAGCCTGTTCAACTCAATTCATACCCACGCTGACTTAAATGAAAACAGTAGTATTAACTGCCACCCTAACATGGAAGCTTGTGCCTACAGATTTTTTCAGTTGTTAAAAATGACCAGTAAATTGTAGTCTGTTTGGTCTAAGACAATACTTTACTTCTCACACAGTTGAATTCTCTGTTATATCTGCTGGAAACTTCAGGTTTGTACCAAAAGCTTCTTTCCCATCTGCCAGAAGCATTTCAGCCTGCGAGAAGTCACACATAAATTATCACGGCTTTTTACTTTGCTTTTTTTAAAAAACAAAACAAAACAAACAAACAAACACCCCTCAGGTTTAATACTATTCCAATTAAACAGCTTTTACATTGTTTCTGTCCATTTGCAGTAATAGAAGCTGAACTAACACATTTAGATTTTCTGAAGCATAGCACACTCGTTTGCTTTGATTCACACTTTTTGGAACACTCCTTGCTCAGCACAACATCCACTTCCTACGTATCTAGTGACTCATTCCTACAGGCCTCTCTTAAAAGGATCCAAATGTAATTACTCACCCCCCCTTAAAAAAAATATCAAAATCAATTCTAAGCTTAAGCTTCTCATGTTACTGATATATGAAAAAATCCACAAAAAGCAAAAGGAGACATTGCACTGTTTCTATAAACACAAGCAAATGGAGACATTGCGCTATTTTTCTATAAATATTCTATTAAGCACAGAAAAAAACGAGTACAAGTTTCCCCCCCCCCACTGCCTCCACCATTACTTTTTCAGGTTTACATGCTCAAAAGGTTTGTATGTGTTCAAAAACATTTTTAAAAAGAAATGTAACTTTAAACATCTGCTTTTAATTGCTATTTACGTGTGATCTTGAAGACTCACCCCGCTTTTATCATTAATAATGCCAGCGTTACGTGGACATTATCTCCTTTGAGCAGGCAGCTTTTCCCATGCATAGTTAGAGTGTCTTTGTACAAGGTAAATATTCACCTGTCTCAACCCAGAATAACATTTCATCTTCAACTTGGTGTATTTATGTGATTCACTTCAGCTTAAGCATATCCCTGCCTCAAAAAAAAAAATAAATTGTTTAATAGTTCCCTCACCGATATTTACTGATGCTCCCTCTCCCTACTTTCCATCCTTCCCTCCCAATTATGCTGATACTGTTGTTTACAGGCTACGTAGCAAACAGGATCACTCACATGATTCACTAAAATAAAAACAAACAAAACTTCAAACCCTCAAGAAAAAAAAACATATTAGAGTACAACTGAAAGACAGCTCAAGAGGCAGCGAAGAGGATGGACTGGGAATACAGGGAACTCGTACTGCCATTGAAGTACACAGCTTTTCAAAGTATAGCCCCAGATGATTCATGAACTATTTTGAATTATTCAAAGATTTCTCTTTGTTACTAAGTTAACATTTCAAGGTCCTTTATCTTCCATTTAAAAAAAACAACAACAACAAAAAAAAAACAGAACTGGTAAAAGTCCTATACATAAGCTCCTAAGAAATGTTTACAAATACTGGCAAAAATAATTTCTGTAGGTTTAAATATACATCATTGATAGGATAATGACATATTCCTAGATGAGACATACTTATTTGAAGTTCTGTAAGCAATTATAATAAACATTCTCACATGCAAATATTCTGGCATAATTTTAGGGTTTTGTTTATTCTTTTGAAACACCACAGTTTTTTTTAAATCACTTTTGTGATACAAGATTAAGACTATTTACCAACAGCTCATCTACCTGCCTTTTCCCAACAGCTTATATCTCTTAGGATGCATTTTCTCCTCTCCTTCAACTATTAATCTTCCCAAAATTTACCATTCAAATGCTCAGACAGATCCAAAAATCAGATGACACTGATAATGAAACCAACGCAGAAACCAAAATTTTACATCTCACTTTACACTTTTTACAGTACCACGTATAAAATTTATAGTAATGTATTCCTACGCATCACCTGAAACCCACTCTATTTAGTAGATCATTATGGCTACTGATCAAGATACTCACACGGGCAATTTCCATCAGGACCCCCATCAGCTCATCACACGACAGTATTTCAAGAGGTATCACATGTTACCATCTTATTTACTACTTATTTAATACTACTAAGTTGCTACTTTAGATCAGCTAGATAAAAGGAACAATGATATATAATATTGTTTGACATGTATTAGTAAAGCCAAGCTACGTAAACATTTAAAAAGAGAACTAAAAACCAGCTGACTCTTTTAAACTCCTCTTTTAGCAGACTTGCTCACCACCCAGTGCTTTATCAAATTAAACCTTCTTTAATATGGCTAAATAATTTATAGCTATCACAGGGTATATGAGAGTCTTAAAATGTTTAAGAATCATGAGAAATATTAATAAAAAGCTGTACATACAATGCTTTTGAGTTTAAAAACAGTACAATAAACCAGAACACTTTATTGAGTCAAAGGTTAAAAACTAAGCTTAAACTAAAAATAGCATTATTTCCTGCATGTAAGTCTTCTGAAGTGTCCAAGAATGCACATTATACACACTAGAGAGCCAAAACAACATTTTTAATGAAACGCACAGATAGCAGTTCGCACAATTACACGCAGGTAACTTGAAAGCCAAGCCATAACCCAGCCTTAAGAAATTAAATGCTTGTCTTGTCCCATCATGCCCAAGTATTGCATAACATGGGATAGTTAACAATGGAAGGCTTAAGAACTTTGACTGCATTCTACTATTCTTCATGCTGTGTCATACTACTAAGAAATACTGCATTAATTACAGATCATATTATTCTCAAAATCGAGAGCTACACTGACCATATTTCACAGAAGGGCGTCCAGGGAACGTAAAAAATAAATAAAAAAAAAAAGCTAATTTATAGCAGATGAAGTTCTAGGGTGGAATATCAATACATTTTAAAAAATACTGTACTGAGCAACTGAAATCTGCACTTTGTTCATTTCTTGTTGGAAATTTAAAATTAACTTGACAGTCATTAAGTAAAATGGCTTTCCTTGTCCCAGTTCAATCCCTAGTGGACAAAACATGCACTGCAGAGCCCCTAAATTGCACTTAACAAGATATCCACTGTCTTTTTGAGACAAACAGCGATGGGTTAATAAAACACAAGCATATTTTAATATCATTTGCACTATCAATGAGAAAATAACTTGTATGCCATTTGCTACATTCCTGCTGTCATAACAAGCCTTCTATCAGACCCAAACAAAACACTCTATACACAATTTCAAAATGACAAGTAGGAAGAGTGGCACGCAAATCCAACATTCTTTAAAGCCAGTTTTTTGATGGCTCCTTATGATGAGATTTATTTACACAGCCAGTGAATAATTTCTCAGCATTTGAAAAAAAATACTGTTACACCACTTCCTTCATACAATCCTTTGCTTTCAGATTTCTAATTATTACTCACCTCAAAATCACTTATTCCCAGTAATGAACAATATGCATGCAAATTCTTCATCACTTATCTTCAACTGCTTGCTTTATGTACTTTTAACAATAGGTAAAGTTTGCACACAGTAAGAAATTATCAACTTACCTGAGAATTAATCACTTTAACACAGATCTTACTCCTTCCACATGTAACTGTATTTATTACAGTGAAACTAAAGTGACCCGCAACGCACAGGGTCTTGTTAAAGTAAGTGCGAAAGTCACTATTTTTAAATAAAGAAAGCAAAACGCCTTACCTTGCCTGTCTTGTGATCAAACCAGACAAGAGCATGGTTCCTGGACAGCACCTTGCAGTCAAAAGTTGCATTATTCTGAGCTGGCCGGCAGCGAGCCACTGAGCGGCCAATCTTGACAGGCTCGTCCAGGTAGACATGACGCTCCTGAAACGGATGAGAGTTCGGGCGGCAAGTGAAGATGGCCAAGGCTGAAGGCATCGAGGACAGATTGGGGTTGCCACACCAACCAGAGATGAAGAGAACCTCTTCCGATGCAGACTGTCCTCCACGATTTTTAAGCCGAACCTCCACAGCAACTTTACATTAAAGCACGACAAACATTATCACGTATGAGAGGCCTAACAACTCATTGTTTCAGTGTGTAAACTAATTCTGGCAATAATCCAGTGAAAAAGCCCCATTATGTCTTTTAACAACATCGGCAGTGGCCCAGAAAAAGTCTAAAACGCACAACTTTCAATCCATCCTCCTCTGGAAGAATAGGAACAAGCATCTGATTCCTTCAAAGAGAAGCAAAGGCTCCTTGAAAGAAGGATAGAATGTCTCAAATCCAAGTAGATGAGTCATACAAATACTTTTGTTTGGGACCTCAACTGCCTTCTTTTTTTTCCCCCTTCCGTAAACAACACTGACCAAAATTCTGACCCACGTAACATGGAAGCAAAGAAAGGTTTAGGGAAGGGGGAAAAGGATCAACGTCCTCTCTCAAAGCACACAGGTGAGGAGCTGGAAGGTGACCACGAAGCCCTCGCTCCGCAACAGGGATCTAGCCGTCTCACAGGGCAAGCCGCATTTCATCATCTTCGCATATTAAAACAAAGCCGAACCGATGGTCCTGGATTTAGGCGCTACGCTCTTTTCCTCCCCTACCCCTGATAAAGCCGAGCTGCTCTACAGTTCCTCGCCGCCACTCAGATAAGGAACTTGATAAGGCATGGAGAGGGCTGCAAGCTGCTTCTCCCGGGGACAAGCCGAGGCGAGGGGAGACTCCTCCGGGGCCGGCCTAGGAGCGGGCTGACAGGTTGCTGCCAGCGGGGCCAGGCGTGGGGCAGGCTCCCTCCTGCCCCCGGGGGGGGTCCCAGCCAGGAGCCCCCTGCTCGGGGAGAGAAGGAGGAGGAGGAGGAGGACGCCGAGGAGGAGGATGAAGAGGAAGAGGCGGCCGCAGCTCCGCTCCTCTCAGCCCCTCCGCAGGTGGCTGCGCATCGGGGGGGGGCCGCCCCTCAGCCCCTCACGCTTCTCCACCCGGCGGCGGCGGGAGAGGCCTGGCGGCCGGGCCCGGGCGCCTCCCGCTCGGTAGCTCTTGCCTCTCCTCAGGCGACCGCCGGCCGCGAAAACTTTCCTCCGACCTGCGGAGGCGAAAACAAACCGGGTCAGACGCGGCCCTCGCCCGGCGCCCCCCTTCCTTCTTCTCCTCCTCCTCACCCCCCCGTTCCCTCCCGTCCCCCCGGCCTAGCGGTGCCCGGCCCCGAGGGAGGCTCGGGGCGGCCCGGGGGTGGAGGAGGAGGAGATGGGGGGGGGGGAAGAGGCTGGGTCTCCCTCCCTTACCTTCAGCGCAGCGGCCGCCATAGTGACTGGAAACCTACCCGGTGCGGCAGCCGGGGAGGGGCGGGGGTCGGGGAGAGAGGGAGGGAGGGGGGGGGAGGGCAGGCGGAGGGAGGAGCCGGCCTCGGCGGGGCCTGACCGGAGGCGAGGCGAGGCGGAGAGGCCGCCCCCGGGCTCCGCGCAGGCGCTGGGGGTGGAGGGGGAGCCGCGCAGCCGCCTTGGGGCTCCGTGAAGCCGCCGCTGTTCCCCCCTCTGGGGTCGCTGCTGCCCTCTGCAGGGCGCGGGAGGAGCCCCTGCGAGGGGGGGGCAGCACTGTGAGGGGGTCGCCCTGTGAGGGGGTCGCCCTGTGAGGGGGTCCGCGCAGGGCTGTGAGGGGCTCGGGGGCAGCCCCGTGAGGGGCTCAGGGGCTGTGAAGGGGGAATGGGGCTGCGCGGATAGGGCACGGTTATGAGGTGGTGAGCGGGGGAGGGTCGCTGAGGTGAATGAACCCCCAGGGTGGGTGCGTCCCCCCCTGTGTGGAAAGGAGCGAGGGGGCTCACCCTGAGGTGGGGGTTCCCCTGCTCTAAGGTGAGGGGCTCACCCTGAGGTGGGGGCTCACTCACCCACCCTGAAGTGGGGGTCCCCCACTGCCCTGAGGTGAGGAGGTTGCCCTCCCTAAGGTGAGGGCACCCCAAGGCAGAGCAGGGTTTCTGCACTGCCTCCAATATCTGGTTTGTTCAGGGTGCTCCCCAACACCTCCCCACCTTCTTGCCATGTGTTTTTCATGCCATTTTGTGATCCTAGGTGTGAAATTTGGGAATGTTGCATGGCGGAGAGGCCGGCTGGGTTTTGCTGGCTCTGGTAACTGTCTGGGAGTGGGGGGGACCCCTTGAAGCAGTTGTCGCAGGCCCAAGGCAGAGTAACAAAAAGTTCAGTGGAGGACAGAGATGGGGTTCACTGGCCCAATGTTCTTCAGCTGTTCATGGAGGCCTGATAACTATAGCACAAAGCCCTAGTTATCCCCATTTTATAGAGATCGAGGAAAGGGTGTTACTTTTTCAAGGTCATACACTAGGCTAGCGCAGAACAGGTCCCTCCAGTCCGAATTCATTTTTAAGTCAGTCAGTCCCTATAAAGCAAACAAGCAGAGATTGTTTGATATAGGATAGATGCTGGGGTTGTGCCAGCACTATAATTACCCTGTGACAAGGTGTTGGGATTAGGGAGATGGGAGGGTTTTGTGATGCCAGGAAGGCCGTGGAGGAAAGAAGTGGAGCCGTGCCAGGCAGTTTAGCCAGCAATATAGGAGAGAAATACATAGCAGTTGAGGTAAGGCAGTGAAGTGCCTAAGAGAAAGAATGATTACTGTGTTATTAGTTATAGCACAGTAAAATCTCAGGGTCATTTTTTTTAACCTTTTTTTTTTTTTTGACTCATTATTGAGGGGGGAGGGTTGGATTCATTGCAGCCTAGTTTTCTATTTTTCTTCTGATGATCCCAAGAAAAAAACAACAGCAAAAACATGTTTGTGTATCTGTGTTTGAAGCAAGGAGATTAAATCCAAAATGAGACACATCTGATTTTTGAAGACGAAAATATACTATATATGGAAGCTTTAGGGTTGTATATTGGTAGTTTTTAATTCTACAGATGGTGTATGTATATGATGCACCACCTCATAGCTTCCATCAGCTTGTTTGTAAGACTTTGCTATTGTGACAACTATATTTCTAATTTACTCTTTTATGTAAATGGAAATTTGATATGTCTGTTGTTTATAGCATACAGGATGCCGTAATGAATCAAAAAGAGGAAAGGAACGTAACAAGAGGATGGGGAAATGGATAAATAAAAGTCTATCAGGAGTTAAATTTGAGGGAAAGGGCTGCAAAAGTAGAAATAATTGAGAACATTTTGGAATTGGAGAGGAGTAAGAAGTAGCGGGAACAAATGCTACTAACAGGTGTTGGAATGAAAAGAATGTTTATGAGAGCATTTCTCGTATTTGTGTATGCATGTTTAATTGAGAAAGGAGTTTGAAAGTCAAATCCAAGATGAAGAAGCAGCATTAGCATTTATAGGGAGTAAGAGGATCAAGAGAACTAAGAGGGATATTAGTTACTGATGTTCTCTGTAAGTACTGTTTTTTCAGATATTAATGCGATTTAAACATATTTCATACTGTATTGTCTGTACAATATCTTTCTCAAGGTTTTATGTGACCAGTAGAACAAACTAATACCCCACGTTTAAGCGTCTTTTAAGCCTGTGCTATCCATATCATAGTATCCTGAACCTTTCTCCTTCTATCCCCTGGAGAAATCCCATTACGACAATCCCAAGGGGCAAGCAGTGGCATGTGCCAGCTGCCCAGTATTTCTGGGTGCTGCCAAGTGGCTCAGCAAACAGAGTTCTGCCTGCTTTCATCAAGGGACCTAACTCGAGCCCTCCTCTTCTGTGCGAGTGCCAGCTTTCGGAGAAGTTGGATGGACTTAGTTCTCTCAGACTTTTTTTAATCCTATTTCAAATTGGCTACTGAGTTCAAAAGTTATTAGAGGCTGAGTTGTAGACTTAAATTAAAAATACAGGAAGTGGTTGCATTCTGAATTGGGGAAACAAACTATAATATGAGTATTTTAAGAGGTATTTGATACTTATCAGAAAGTGTCCATCTTTATTTAAACAGTGGAAAGCAACAGGAGGATGGAGAGAGTTCAGGATGGAGTAATCAACCACTATACTCTGCTCAGCAGAGTACAGAGGGTGTGTAAGCACATGCGTCTTTTCTGCAAACCACTGTTGGTCACACAACCAAAAGAGGCAGTGAGCTTTCACAGCCATGTTAGGTAAGGGCAGCAAGATGCCACTTCGGTGGCCATCCTTTTTCTGGGCGGGAAGTCCATAAAATTTAATGATAGCCATCATAACTGAGGGCAGATACAGCATGCTCTATTGCCATCTTGGATAAGGGAAATGGAAGGAAGGTGTCTGTTGCATTTGTCCCCCAAAGAACTGGTGTCCGTTTCAGAATGATAAAATGTGGCGGGGTTACGGTTTATGTATGTACCTGCTAAATATCTGGATTTTGGTTTGAGTGTGCCAAAGTGCAGGAAAGACCCTTTAGTTCGAAGGATTTGCTGAAAAATAGGATCCTCTGCTGAAGACAGCCTGCTGTGAATTCTAAATTATCTCCAACTGCCAAGAAGGAAAACAGCATCATTATAGCCAATTCAGCGATAAATTTCTGAATGATGTGCAATGATGATCTAGAAGGCTACCAAAATGTTGTGTGTTGGATTAAGGTTGTCACTGAGAAGGTGTTGTGAACTGATTGCTTAGTGGGAGATCCTGTGTAAAGAGAGATTGTTAGATATGGAATGAATGAGGCGTGCTGTGTAGAAAAGTTCAATTTTCAATATAAAAATTATGATGTAAGTTGAAAACAGAATAAATAGATAAGGAGAAAGTTGGAGTTGCACAATTTTCTGCTGTGTTCTCACCCCTGAGACTCATTCAGCAGCAGCTAACTAAATCAATTTTTCTCATGATTACCAGAAATATGACAAATAATATGCATAATTGCCCCACATGAAGCCATACCAAATTTTAAAATATAACACTATATAAAGGGATTTACAGTTACGTAATGTGGAAACATACAGCAGAGTTTGAACAGCTGTGTCCTGATGTTATATCCCTTGCAAAACAAGCTTGCCTCACAAGTAGCTGTAGAGACATACAGAATGAAGCTGAAGCATCAAAAAGTTAAAAATTGTTTCAGAGCAGTAGGTTGGTTTTCCTGCAGCTATAAATGTGTCAGTTCAGATGAGAACAGACAATAATATTTTGGTTCATAGCAATCACTTGTCCGCTAGAGGGCCAGGGGGAGGACCAACTGCATGTCATCTCAGACTAGCTAGCTCAGACAAATGTTTGCTGATCTACAGTTGCTTTTCAGATCCAGTGACTGAATATATAGTAACTTTTTTCTCAGGCAGGAAAAGTGGTCTCACAAAATAAGGTAAACAAGGAATGGCAAGATTCTTGTGACACCGGTGATTCTACAGTTTGTTGAAATATACTGCTTGCAGTTCTTGATAAAATTCACAATATTCTGTGCATGCATGATAGCATATCTCTGGACGTTAGCAAGACTAAATGGTGTGGTTGCAGTGCATATCAATACAACAACAATCCGATTTGAATTTTCAGATACATGTTGTTTTCAGGAGCTGCTGAATACATATACTTTCTACAGATGTTTTCTCTAGCGGTATATTTCTGTCCTTGCTGATATATAATGAGAAATAAATGGAGCAAGATCATTTCCTCAGAATAATGATCATTAGTGGAAAAGAATAACAGGCATTTGCTAATGTTATTTGCTAGTTTCATTATCATGTTTAAAAAGAGTCCAATTATCCTAGTAACTAAAGATCATAGGAAAAAAAAAAAGCCCGTAATATGTATCAGAGCTGCGTTATACCTTATATTTAATTACAAACCTTGCATTGCAGCGTTTGAAGCACTGCGTGTAAACGACTTTTGGAAAAGATTCTGTACAATGATTCCATAAACATTGGTATGTGAGTGAAAAGGATCTGGCTCCTGAGTCCCTTAGCTTCCAGTGGCAGTGGTCCCATAAACTTTCTACAAGCTCACCAAGCTCTTCCTAAAAACTTAGGGCTCTAGTCCTCACTACTTTTGTTGGAACATTTTCTTCAAAACCTTGCTTCTCCAATGATTAGAAAATTTGTTCTAATTATCAGCCAGAATTTATTCAAGGGTGGTTATACCTGCAGTGCTACCGTTTTTCTTTAGTTTCAAAATTATGTTCTGTTCTTTCACCTGTCTGACTAAAGAACCATTGCATTATCTTTCAGCCTTAATTTTGAAGGACAAAGCAACTCAGCTGGTTTGATCCTCTCTTGTCAGGTAGACTCTCCATTTATCTTGTTTCACTGTATGCAGTTATAACAATGTAATATGCATAGTAAGTTTTATATACTATGTAAAGTAAATGTTACATGTAAAATGTATTCTCTATATAATCTCTATTACATACATTATGTTGTATGTTGATAATATTAATACAATGTATATAGCAAATATAACGTAACATACTGTTAATAGTTATTCAGTTTATATTAATGCTAATATATAATTTTACATAGAATGTTTCTTTATTTCTAATGAAATTCTCTAAATTGGTCTTCCTGGCCTCTTCCCTGCTTTATCATTTTCGTAGAACACAGTCATCATGTGATTAGCTCCTAGTGGCTCTTCTCTTAATATGAGGTTGACATTTTTGAGATGTTTGAAATTTTCTCTGGTTTGTAGAGTAAGAAAACAAAGTGTTAAGTACCTTTCTTTATGAATGTTTGTTACACCAATTTTTCTGATACAAATTAAGTATTGCTTTCAATTAAAATTTCAAGGGTGGGAGGCAAGGGGAGACGAGCAGAAGATGTTTATCCAACCCTTTGGTGTTACGCAGTAGATATGTGCGTTCCACACCGTCACTTCCTACTGAAGCTGATGGAAATTGGCCAGCCAGCAGCCACCACTACATTGGCTGCTACGTGGTAGAAAGCTTCCTGCTGAGAGGCAGGACAAAACAGCAGAGTTGTTGTGGTTGAAAGAGGGTGGAAGAAAGTAAGATAGCTTCAAATGCTGAACAGCTTTGGACTTTATGAATCCACCTGTCCTGCATAGGCCTGTACTCATCAGCTGTCATTACAGAGGATAATTTTTTTCAGAAGATACTCATGTCCAAACCCTGTAGAATATTTATATGAACAGATTGCTGTCTTTCTGCAAAACAAGGCAGAGTTCAAAGAGATTTGTTAAGGGCAAACTCCATATGCAGAGCCCTACAATTTCATGTGCAACTTGTAGCAATGCATCCTGAGTTGACAGGTTCCCAAGTTTGAAGCTTGTACTTAGTCCTGCGCAGATTTGACCCAGCATAAGCTTCTTGAAGAAGAAAGCAGTCAGCCTCAGTTGTTATTACAATACCTAAAATACATGCAGGAACATTTTAATTCTTTTTCTTAAACAACTGACATCCATTCTCAACCAAGAAAGATCATCACGCTTTATGAAAACTGAAATGCATTTGAAATGTCTAGGTAAAAATTTTCCTGAACTGATTATTTCCCTAGTAGTTAGGAAAATCTCCAGTAAGTGAGAATCTTTCTTTCTCAATGATCATATCTCTGTTCTCTAAACTTTCTCCTGCCAAAGGTTTATTTCTGTTAAGCATCAGGTGGAATTAATGTACTGGTTATTGCCTATGTTTAACAAAACAAGTAGAGAATATCAGTCTTACTGAAGGACTTTATTCTCTGTAGTTTACTTGTGTACAAATATATAGAGAAATATTTAGGAGTATACTTTTTGTTTTCATAAAGACTTAAAAATAGAGGCCAATGAAAACTAGAAAGGAATGCATAAGAGGAAGGTCTGTAAGAAGCCACGACATGTCATTTTTTCTTAAACCAAGCAATAAAAGCTTTTGGCCAGGCCTTGTTTCAGCTCCTAAATGGAAGCAGCAAATTAAATACCACTGCTGTGACTTTAACCTGATTAAGCTAAGCCTTAGTCACATCATATTTTGGATGGCAATCTTTTACGGAGTCTGGGAATTAGCTACTGGAAAAGTTCATGAGTGTGAAATGGCATCATGGTAAAATACCTGAAGCAACGGGAGACAGCGCGAGCCTTCCTTTACAGCCGCTCCCATTGCACGCTACATAACTCCTTTCATATCTTAGTTTATATCTAAAATTCACTTTGCCACTAGTGGTTTATGGTAACAGAGGGCTGCTCTATCTTAAATTATTACAATTATAATTTTGTGTATTATGATTTTATTTGCCTGAGTTATATATTTATTCCTCCTTTGTCTAGGAAATTACTCTAATGATCAAAGCGTGCATTAATTTCTGCCAGTTTGGTTTTGATAGATAAACAAATGTTGTTAATGAGTTAAGGAAACAGTGCGTCCAAATAGTCCTGAATTTTCTGTTAAGTATGCACAGGTGTGGTATCTTGATTTTGATATTTGCAAGTCCGAATTGGAAGAAGTGTCAGGTAATTCAGGCAACCAGCCTGGCTGCATTTACTACAGGTGACACTTTCTGGTAGCAGTCAAGCAAAAGCCTAGTGTGAGTAACCAAATAAAAAGCGTGATGGTTTAGGAAAGCCTTTTTTTTCCCCTCTAGAGGGAGAGGTGTGATTTTTATTTATTTATTTCTCAGAGCAGCTGTGCAGCGCTTTACCTTGAATGCCACGAACTCCGTGGGACACGGACTGTGCTATAGGAACACTTGGGAGAATATTTCGGAAGCGTTAAATGAGGAGCAACCCTTGGCGTCTGGCTAAGACACCGACACAGGTTTTAAGAGCTTTGTTTCTCCACCTCTCAGCCCAATTTCCCCTGCAGCCCAGCTCCCGGAGGGTGCAGAAGAACCTACGGCTCCCCCCCCGCGGTCACGATGGTTGTGCCCGGCGGCGCCGCCCGCCCCCTCCCCCGCGGCCCCCGCGCGGCCTCTCCCACTCACGGCGCGGGGGGGGGGGGGAAGCCGGCAGGGGTGGTGCCGCCGGCCCTGTCACGTGACGCGCGGCGGCGCCATGGCGCTGCGGGAGCCGGGCCCGGGCAGCGGCGGCGCCCGGGATGGGGGCGGCGGGGCCGGTGCCGAGGGCGGGCGGGACGCGGAGCCGTGCCTGGCGCTGCTGCCCTGGGACCGCTTCTCGGCCTGGCTGCACTGCGTGTGCGTCGTGGGCTTCGACCTGGAGCTGGGCCAGGCGGTGGAGGTGGGTGAGGCGGCGGTGTGGGCACCGTTAGGTGTGGGCAGCGCGGCCCCGTTTCCCCCTCTCCGGGCTGCCCCGCTCTGGGCAGGGCTCTCCCTGCGCCCCGCAGGCATCGGGAAGTCCTCTGGGGGCACCGGGAGCTTCCTCAGGGGCCGGCGTTACGCGGCGGGGGGTGTGAGGGAAGCGGGGTGGGCAACATGGCACAGCGAGCCCCGAGGGTGCCCTGGGGGAGCCCAAAATAACCGTTTGAAGTACGTTCCTTGCACTATTAAATGAACATCGAGCTGTGAGCTACTGATGCTGCCCCACACTGCAGCTTTTAGCTTCCCGCTGCCCGTTGCCGCCTTGCACAGACATCTCTGGAGCAGCATATTTAACTGCATTGGGACAGATGAGCTTTTCCCTTGCTTTTTCCAACCTTAATGGTAATATGACTGGGATGGAAAACAAGCTAAAAGAGTACTTTCATTTGGATCAGTTTCACATCCTGTTCCACCGTGTTCATCATATGATTGTGCAGCAAACGGTTGGTGTGGAAGGAAGAGTGTCCTTTCTCTAGTTCTTTGGGTTGTTGTTAAAGTGCTGTTAGTATAAGCTTACGGCAGACTGGCTTAAAGTTCAACAAAGGTAGCTATTACAACATTTAAAATATGTAATTGATGTGCATTGTTGGCTGCAAGAGAAATACAAATAATAAACAGGCACACTGGTGTTATTGTCTGAGTTATTTTCATCTAACATTATAGAGTGCTGCTAACAACCAAGACAGGTATTTCTTTATAACCTGTGACTTAAGCAGATAATGTTTGTGGTGGATGAGGGAAGCAGAGTATCTCTTGTCATGTCAGCAAACAACTCAAAACTGTTACCAGTCCCATTAATTTTAGTTGAAAGCACACACAAAATGAAACTCAAAATGTATACAGGAATAAGACCTGAGCTGTTTCAGTTGTATTGCTGCAGGACAAATAATTAGGTTAGTTTCCATTGTAATCCTTAACAATTAGGTTACTTAACACTGCAGACAATTAAGATGTGGAAATGCAGTGTAAACACTTGCATTGTTTCAAACCCACAAGATGTGTTATTTCTTTTTTGGAAACTCCCTAGACAGAAGCAGTTCCGTGCCTAAATCTGCAATTCTAGGAGAAAATTCTGATGACTGTGCTTGGGGGGAGTAGGAGGAAAGTGATTTCTAAGTAGGTGTAATATTACATTTCCTCCAATTATCACGCTTTGCAAGTTACTTTTTTTGAAGGAACTTTTTAAGTTTCACTTATAAGAACATGCACTTAAAAATATAATACAGTTGGAGTTTGTGATGCTGCGTCTGCTGTAACACTGGAATCCATTTTTCAGAAAATGAGTCTTTTAGTCTTATTATTTTCTTTCTTGCCCAGCAAGTTAATTTATTAATTCAGGCAGGAAAGAAAAATGTGTGTAAAGGACACGTAGATTATAAAGGGAAATGTTTGGAAGCAAGGGATGGCTGGTCTCCCATAATTCTGCTTCTTTGTGTCCACTTTGCGCTCTCTTTCTGTCACTGCATGTGTTCTTTTGATAGGAAGCTTCAACACCTTCTCGCATAGCAGTAGCTCACATGAATGGTGTTCATGTTCTTTTCTATTTGGACTTCTTTAGTAAGGTCATTCAAAATATTGGGAAAAGTTTTAAAACTTCACCTGTGCTGTGCTTGCATTCATTATCACAGCATCATTCTGATGTGGCCGTGCAGGTCAGAAAGGCTGAGGAGATGTGACAGAATGGAGGTCAAAGTTGCAACTGTTTTTAATATTTCATTCATTTCATTAATTTCACTTCAACATTTCATAACTTCTGGGAAGACAGTGGTTAGTGAGCAAAAGGAATATGAATTCAAGTCAGGTGTGTAGTCCTAGTTACCTGACTAGATGCAGATCACTTCAGCATTGTTCAGTTGCTGAGTTCTGATCAAGTGTACTACTTCTGCTAAGTTCCTTACATCATCACCTTAGTACAAAAGAATGTAAAGAGGTTAAGAAACACGAAGATAGGAAGTGCAATTTAGTACATGCTGTATGCGGTGTTCCACCTATGTGAAACATAGGTGGAACAAGCTACGTGTATACTAAAAGCTACATGTAGCTTTTAGTTATAATGTGTTGTATGTCTGGAAGTCACTGGATAGGAGACTGAGGAAAAAATAAATGAAGTGGGGATTTAATGGCAAGTCTGCTTATATGGAGACCTGCCAATGGATGTATCTGTTGCTTTCTATAGAGTAAGATGACATATTATCAGCAGATACATTTACTTAACATTTTGTAGAAAACAAGATGAAATGAGATAACTGAATATGGTCATCTTGTGTTAATGGTGTAGTAGTATGAAAGGACTCTACACTGTGTTACTGTTCTTGCATTGAACCTCTGTTCTTACAGAGGTTCTCATCTGTAGAAGCCATGAAACATTATTTTTGAATTTATGTTGGATTTTGTTTTGCTTACAGGCTAGCCACCCATTTTAGTAGTTTTTGTTTTTTCAGTACCTTTTAGTTGAAGTTCAAGCATCTCATTATTTTTTTCCTTTATGTTCTGCTCTTACTTACTTGCATAATCATGAATTTTGTACATCCAGTTCCTTTTTTTTGTAAATGACATTTCCATGTCTTACATTGTTTTGCACTGTTTTTGATTAATTCATTGTAAACAATACAAAATGTATATATTTTTCGTTCTGTTAGTTCAAGTGATTTTTTGAGTTTATTAATTGAGCTTTCGCAGTTGTCAGCTCTCATTAGGGCACCAGTGTTCATCCTTCACCAGTTAGTATTAATCTATATTGATACTGCAATTGAATTTTGATTATTCCTACCTAACTAACCCCAGTGCAACAGGTTTTAGACAACAAAATGTTACTGACTTTCTTTGGAATAATTTGCTGCCTCTTCTAGGTACAAGTTAAATATCAAGGCTAGCTCTTCCTTAAGACCAGTTGTGTCAAAACGTCAAGTACTATGAATTTTTGAGTGTACCCATATGGTCTCCAACTGTCACCCAGAACACCATGTAAAGATGTTTATCTGCACTCTCCAAGATCATTAGCCTAAAAGCATTTGAGAAATAAGAACAGACACATAGTGTTACTAACTTAACACTGAAAATAGCCAAAGCTTGCAAGTATTTTAGGGTTGTATTGTAAAAATATTTGGGAAACTTCTTGCTTATATCCAGTTTATTTTCAAATAAAATTACTCTTTTTTTTTTTTTCTGTAGGTAATATATCCTCCACATTCAAAACTCACAGATAAAGAGGTAAGTCTTGGTTGCTGTGTAAGTATATCATCTGTTTTTAGTTTAGTAATTTCAGGAAATATAACTGCTCTCTTCCTTTTTCTTACTCCTTAGAAAACCAGTATTTGCTATTTGTCTTTTCCAGATTCCAACTCAGGTAAGTGCTTCTTTTACTCTGTATTCATCTGTTGCTACATTAAAAAAGAATTTAACAGTAAATATCTGTGGTTTTAGATTAAATTCTTCATGTGCAAATCTTAATATCACAGTCTAATACAACGTGATATAACTGTCTGTATTGCAGTAAGGTCTGAGAACTCTTTATTTAGTGTAAGTGAAATACTGGGAATGTGAGCATGTTAACAGCTTCCAGGTGACATGTATGCAGAGGTTTTAAAGTTCTTTGCCAGTAAAGAATGAATATTTAATATCTCCTTTAAACAAAGTAAAAATTCTGTTGTTGAAGAGAATAGTGTAGGCACAGAGTTCAGAAACTCACGGAAGGGATTTGGGACCCTCTTCTCATAAAGGAGTAAATGTATGTTTTCTAAATTCTTAACAGTGAAATGGACTTTTAAATTCAAGAGAGAGAACAGTCCTGAAGGAAAAACTTGCGTTATCTTAAATTTTCTTCTCTGTTCTTTGCTTTTGTTGCTGTGTGGTCCTGCTTGCTGAATTCTTCATTCATCTAAACTTTTCCTGTTCTGCTGCCAAAGAGGAATTAGAGGCATGTGGCTGATGACTTAGACCACCTGCAGAAAGAGATGGCAAAAGTACAGACGCTTCTTTTCACATTCTTTTCTTTACAAAAATCAAAGCTTGTAGTAGCAGATTTGTCCCGATACTGTTCTTACTCTCTGGTTGTTCTGCAGCATAACTCTGATATCAAGTGATGCAGATCTATGCTTTTAATACATATGAGAGAGCTTTGGCGTACATCATTTTAAAAAAAAAAAAAGTCTTAGCTATTTTTCCTCTGTCTTAATGTCATTAAACTTAAGATATTTTCACTGTTCTTGATATCCTATGTATAAATAGAGGAAAAGTGTCTTTCTATTATTGAAAGAGAAAATGAGTTAATTGTCTTCTTACTCTCATTGTTAATGGTTATAAATTTGTCCAACCTTTGAAAGGTGTTAAAGGTACAAAATAATGCATTAGGAACAAAGGCTGATTTTTTTTTTCCAAGTAAGTGCTAGCGAAATTATGTTAGGCAGAATAGGTGTATGTAAAGAGGGTTTCCTTTCAGCAGGAAAAAAAAAAAACACCTTTCTTCTCTTTATGATGTGACTATCTGCAGGTTCTTGATTGTTCTGGATTTTTGGTAGGCTGAAGTTTCAAACGGTATAGAGGGGTTACCTGCATAAAACCTGCGTTTAAAAATTAGCTGGAAGTATGTGCTATCCTTTCTGATTTATTTTTGATTGTAGGATGTAACATAATTAGCTTTGTGTAATACAGCAGTAGAGGAAGTTACTAGCTTGTAGGTAAATTTGAGGTCAGTCTTTCCTAGGTTTTCATGGCTTAAAATGGCATAAAGGGCCTGGGAGGGGTTGTTTGGTTTGGGCATTTATTTGTGTGGAGAACTTGACAGATCACTTCATCTTTTTGCTTTTGTATCTATGAATAGAAGTCATCCTAAGACTCTTAGTGACCATGAATTTAGGAAAAAAAAAAAAAAGATTTAATCAGGTGCTAGGTCATAACACTTGTGTTGTTATGTGATTCTGTTATTTTTAAAACAGTATATTTGATTCTTCTGCATGGGTAGTAAAGAAAAGAACAGTCATTTACCATTCTTTTTGAATTCTATGTACATAAAGAACTTCTTAAATATCATTCACAATATGATGAATTCTCCAGGATGTTAATGATAAAGGGTAATTTACTTTTATGTCCTCTGTGGTAGTTTTTTTATAATAGCTGGTTTTGCTCATAATGAAGGGAACTAACTGAAAACATGGAGTAACTTCGTAGTGCTTTGTTATTGGCATATACAGTATTTTTATTGTGATGATTAGGTCCATGTTTTAAGCACTTGTTTCAGCTACCTGTTTGAATTGGCTGGCATCTGGAGTACAGTGTTGTGGTGTTTTTGGCTTTGTCTTGGTGCATTGTGGTTTCCCTCTGCAGCTTCAAGGGATTCTGAGCCTCAAGCCTGGATGCTCTGACCGTGCCATTATTAATCCATGCTGCCAGTTGCACAAGCACATGAATTTGGCTGAGGATTTGGGCTACCTGTGGTTGCTGTAGCAGTAAGCATGTGGCTGATGGAGAAATAAAAAAAAAAAATAATAAAAATGAAATTGAGCTTGTTAGTCTGAAGAAGAGTTAGCTGGAGCGTGGAGCTTTGCCGCACTGTTCAGTCAGTTAGCACTGGTTAGTATAAGGACAGCAGTTAAGAATCCAGATTATCAGTGGTCACTTCCTGATTTTTCTTTTCCTGTAGAGCTTGACAAATGTTGTCTAACAGCTGTAAGAGCAAAACTCTAATGAAGAAGTTACACTTGCTTCCCCGTGCTGAATGTCCTTTACCATCTGGAAACGTACTGCAATAACAATAGCTATAGGTTCAGCAATAGATCTTTTTTATAGTCACTTACATGAAGGTTTCCGTTGTTAGAGTAAAAATAGTCTGCTTACCACGGCTTGGCAATGCTTGAGAGGTTGTTTTTCAATTTATTGTTTTCATGTTAATAACACTGCATTCCAAAGGGGCAATTTTTCTAACAGGTTTGCCGCAATGCGCAATGTGCTTGCGTGTTCTTAAGATTCTAGCCAAACAGCAGTCTGCTCAGCTTATCTAGCTTCTACTTGAACATCAGGTATTTTTTTTGGAGTGTCCTCTGTTTCAACAGCAAACAACGTTTTTAATGGCAAGAACATAGTCACGAGGGCATCAGTGCTACAAGTTCTGATACTATAGTTCTTACGTTCCACCTGGAGATGTCTTTCTTTGATGTCTGGTACGAAGTTGGCCAAAATTTATTTTCAGACTGCAAATAGTCAACATACTTAATTAGATTTTCCTTTCAGAAATTTATTTCAATAGAAATAAAGGGAAACTTTACTCTTTTTGGGTTATTATGGGACAGTCTGTTTTTGTCCTTTCCTGGAATTCTGATGTGACTTTGTGTTAGTAGCAAATATTTGTGTTTAAATATATGTATTATTCTGAACACACTGTCAAAACATAAATATATCTGAATTTCATTCAGTTTTGTTCAGTTCATTTTGCAACCCTCAAAGTTATTAATAGGAGTCCTGGGCTTGCTCTTACAGTGCAACTCTATTAACTTGGCCCAGCTTGGTATCAAAAAAAGGCTAAATACTGTCATTGAACAGAGAAAAGAAATTTGGTCAAGATAAGAAGTGTACAGCCAGACCAATAAAATAGGTAATAACAGTAGGAGGACAGCTGTTAGTGGAGCTCTTCAGGGACATTACGGTCTTAAGTCTTTACAGCTAATAAACACACTGTAAGGTAGAATGACTTTACTTTCTCTTGTTGAAGAAAAGCTATTTATTGCTGCCACAGGTGCCAAAACATTCACCCCAAATTTATATATTTATAAATACATGTAAATGGGCATATTAGCAGTACAAAATAATTGAACCAGAACTATTTTACCTCTTTCTGTGGACAAGTCCTAATATTTAAGCAAATTCAAAATACTGTCATTTGTTGTTTATTTCTTCCCCCTATGTAGGTTGTCTTGGGGACACGCAGTTTTGTTTTAGATTTCGACGGTCTCCTGGAAGGAAAGTTTCATTGTGTTGTTTTCTGGACCAATTGGATAGAGATCTACCAGTTTACTTAAAGGTTGGAAATTAAAAATAATAGTAATAATGTTAATTTCTTCTGGATAATGTTAATTAATAGGTTTTAACACTTAGATTAATGCTTGAAAAACAAAAACTGAACTAGATGTCCTGAAAGATAAAGCTGAGCAGATGTTTTTTTTTTTAGTATGTCATTATCATAATAATAATAATAATAATGGATTTTGGACTGCAAAAAGTCAAACTGATGACCAGAGCTATTTTGTTACTGACTGGAAACGTAGATATCAGATTGCAGGAACCCTTACCTTATAGGGAATCTGAAGTACTTTATAATGTTAACAAACAAGACAAAAACAAACAAGCAAAACCCCACAAAGTTGAGAGGTCTCTCTCTATTTCCCCCCTTCATGTTCTTGAAGATGGAGGAGTTATCTAAAAGAGGTAGTGACCAAACAGTCATTCTTGGTATTTTAACTATGCTAGTGGGAGTTTGACTCTCAGATTCAAATTGAATCTGTTTATGCGGCAAATAGTTGAATTCCTGCATGTATGAAGCTGATGTTTTACTGTTGAAATGTGAGAGCATGCTTCCTTAATATTCCAAGCATATTTTATAACACTTATATGTTAAAAGACAAGTATTTATCTTCTCAAGTTGGGATTTCTTCAATTTTTTTAACTGCTAAATTCTTTTTAGTGCATCTTTGTGAAATTTGAGTGTTGATTCCTTAGGGAATTAATTCTGTTTTTGCTTTCGTGGTATTCAAGAGAATGTAGATATGAAAATAGTGAAGCCAGAAAGCACAACTCCATTTCCACACACTGGTGCTTTCTCTTTTAAATAATTGAAAATATTTTAATGCAGAGTACTCTTCTTGTATCTAATCAACTTAGGAGCTTGTAGGTAAATAAACTTCTAAAATACATATAGAATCCTTCCAAAAGACAGACCAGACATTATCAGGTTGATATATTTAATTATTTTGGTTCTTTTGCAGAAAGATCCAGCATATTACTATGGCTATGTATATTTCAGACAAGTTCGAGACAAATCATTAAAAAGAGGCTATTTCCAGAAGGTAATTTCAATTATCCTAGGAAAATACAAATGTCAAAGTTAATTATTTTTCAGTGACCTTAGAGAAGCAGGAAGAATATCTTGCTCTCTTAACTAAATTCTTTGGTGATTTGTAGTAAACTGATTTAATTTTACGTCAGCTTTGTTATGTTCCAGCAGCACTGTTTGGAAGAAAACTATTTTATGTTAAAACAAAAAGTTGGGAAATTTGGGGAGTTCTTTCTCAATGGCCTGTGGTAAAATGTGTGGTTAGCTTGTGTGTGTGGGAAAAGTCACACTTGGTATTCTCTGAGGATAATCAGTAGAACTGCAATACAAGTGATTAACTTGAAGTTGTATTTTTGTTTTGTAACTCTTTATTCCAGTCGCTGGTCCTCATCAGCAAGCTGCCATATGTCCATCTCTTTCGCACTGTGCTTAAGCAAATAGCACCAGAATATTTTGAAAAAAGTGAAGCTTTCCTGGAAGCAGGTAGTGCTACTATTATGTAGTTCTGGAAGCACTCCTATAATATCACATACCTGTTTTGGAAAAAATAAACTGTCACAGTTGAGTTTGTGCATTTGTGTTTTTGCAGGGTAGAGGGCTAAAACTTCAGCAAACTGGCTTGATTTCTGTGTAGATCATTGAACAGAACTAATCTGGTTTGGGATCCTTTGTGGGAGAGTTGATCCCCACTGAAAAATATTTAAGATTTTGTCATAAATTTCAGAACTAGCTGTTCAGTACAAGCAGCCGATGGCAACCTTTAATGTGTCCTCTTGACAAATCGAGTCCTTTCAGGCATTCTGACAACTTTTGTTAAGCAACTGTACAAATGTCATCTTGCATTGGCAGAGGGGGCTGTTTTAACAAAATACAAGAAGCACCAAGGCAGCACTGATAACAGGTGCATCAACCTGTCCCATACAAAATCTGAGTCTGTGTACTTGCACTGAGCAGTAATTTATAGAAACTGTTCTTGCTAAAAGAATTACTTGTATATAAGCAGACTTTTGACAGGTTGTATTATGAACAAAATAAGTTCTAAAACAAAATTACTACTAGAATTAGTAATGATACTTGCAATTGTTTACAACAAAATGCTGGAAAACTTTGTAGGCAAACTTAATATCTCTTAGGACTTTTTTTCCCCTTAATTACTTGTGTCTCTGTTCTACAGTAGCTGATTTGCTTAAATGTTTATGTAATGTTCAGTTTTTTAATAATGTACTTTCATGCTTTCTCATAATATTTCTTCAATGAATTACAAATTTGTTATAAAAATGGAAGACAAGATAATACTATTTTCTTGAAATGAAAAACTTTGTAGTTCTAATGGAATAGTATATTAAGAAAGTCAACAGTGCTGTAAAACTTTACCTTAGAGTATGGAGTGAAGAAAAGATAATACTGTGGGGTATTAGCACTAACTTAAAAATTCAGTGTGCACAAAGGTGACTACAATACCGTGAGTTAATGCATATCCATACTAGCTGTATGTGTATGTGTTATGCTTTATACTTTTTTTTTTTCTTTAAGTCTGTAGTGATGTTGATCGCTGGCCACCACCAATTCCAGGGGAGATACTACATTTGCCTATCATGGGCATTATAATGAAGGTAAATATTCCAGCACCTCTTTTCTCTGAGGGTGTTTTCCTCTCCATTTGCTGAGCATGTACTCACTGTATTCTGCCTTATTTTCAGTGTCTCATACTTTCATACTTCATCCAGAACAAGAATAGACTTATATTTCACTCTGAGTAAAAGCTGGGGAGGTCTTCATTAGGTTCCTTGATTGAGGGGGTCATTTTTTATTTTTTCTGGTGCGTAGGTTAACATTTGCTTTTTGTGGATATTAAAAAGAGATATTTCAAGACAACTATTAATTGCAGTCTCTATATTAACCTTCTGGAATACGCAGGAGGCTTTAATGCTAATTATATTTGTCAAATATTAAGTAACACTTGAAAATACTGGTAATTAAATTCCAGTCAACCAAATTAAATGTATTGATGGAAAACATTCTTGTTATTGAAGTTTTACAAACAAAAATCTGTTTTGGCCCATGCACCAGAAATTAATTTCTTGGCCTGTTGATAATTCTCAATGAAACTGAAATATGTCTGAATAAATCTATTAAAGAAGTTGGATCTAGTGCATGGAGAACTGTAGAACTGTAGGTGGCCAAGAATTGTGCCTCTGGGAGCCACAGTATCTTTATCTGAAATGCAATTAAATGGAGTTGATGGATCCAGAGGTTACAGGCAGAAGTACATTCTTAGCTGATAGTTTCAAGCTTATGGCCAGACACATTTGCCTTACCTGGGAGAGAAAGAAGTTTCTGAAGCTATTTTGTAGGCACAAATCTAATATTGAAGTCTTCTGGACTGCATGATAATGGAATGTCACATATGCATGTCTTGTTTGCATATTGGGTATTGTCCCCATATTGTGGTTTGTTTGTTTTTTACACTGCTAGGGCAGTGAGCTTAATAGTTGTGTATAAATTACATGTATTTGTGCACACCAGCTTTCAGTATTGATTGAATTTGTAATACTACCAGACTGACAGATGTGGACTGCGAGGACAGAAAATGATACTTATTATTCACTGTATTTGGGTTTTGTGCTATACCCACAAAGAAGTCTGATGTTTTGGCAGTTTGTGTTTTCCCCCCCCCCCTTCTAGCAGTAATCTGTATCACCTTAAAACCCCATAACCTTGTTTTAGATTGTTCTCTTGAGCATTTGAATGCTTCTGGTTGGTTTGAATTTATTGTAAGAATTTATTGTAAGTATAATTTTCATATTCTAATATTCAAATTGTAATATAGTGCTACATAGCATTGCGTATCAATTCCTGTAATTGATTGAAATTCCTGTAATAATTGTCTGTAGTCTTAAGCTACGTATTCATTGTTATGTGAATATTCTGGAGAGTAAGTTAAGCACAGTACTGTATTACGTTCTCTTTAAACGTTGCAATTTATCTGTAAGTGATTATTTTAGGTCAATGCCAGATTTGATTCAAGGAGAAATTATTTGTCTTTCTTTCTTAGCTGCGGATTCCAACATATCGTGACAAGCCTGGAACAACCCAAATAGTACAGAACATGCACCAGGTAGAGATTAGATACAGCTGTTGTGTATGACCATAAGACAAAGCTAAATAGTTGCCTTCATTCTTTCTCTTTAAACTTGTTCATAAAAGAGTGATAGCAAATCCTTACATATTTTGATAATAATGAAATCCAGTCTTTGAAATTTTGAATAAAAGAGTCTAGTGTTGGATTCTTCATATAAAAGTATTTTAATCCTGTTACCCTGGGCACGTCAGGAGATGACATGAGTTGTCCTGCTGCTGGAAAAGGACGGTTGGCTAACAAAGTTACTTAACTTAAGCATCCTTTTAAAGAGTGAAACTATACAAAACTATTCTTTGGAGGACAAAAATCACATCAAAAATCTTGTCCCATAGAAGCTGGTTATAAAATAAATCTGTCCTTGCCTTCATATGCAGCACAGCTCTTGTTTGAAACAGCTTTAGCGTTTTTTATAATTTTCAGTCTGACAGTCGCATAAGGGGGTGGGTGGTTGAGTGTGTGTATGCTAGGAAAATCTTGCTTTTATCATAAAAAAAAAAAAAAGTTACTTGGGGAGACAATGCACTACAACCTCAGTAGTACAGTAGCGGTACATAAGGTATATAGCATCTACTATATATAAACCCTTAAGGCAAAGTGTTTTAATACCTGTGATGACTAAAAAGCTAGTATTGTGATGTCTTTTAGGCAAATGCTCAGATCTCTATGGCCTTACCCACTGTTCATGAAGTAGACCTTTTCAGGTAGGAATTTGGACTGATTTGTTCCTAACTGTGAATTTCCCACAAGTCGAAGTTTGAGGGTTCCATAACACGTAGTTAACAGGTCACAAGCTATTGTTTACCAGTATTATTTTTAATACTCTTTTTCCATAAAACTGTCTAAAAAAGAATTCAGACAACATGAAATTGCAATAAATAAGCAAGTTCATTAAATTTTCCCTTTTACAATAATATTTTATATTTTTCAAATGACTCAAATTCTCCTAGAAACCTTTTTATACAGTTAATAACCAGATACGCATTCCTTCTGGTTATGTTAAATGTATTAAAATCTCTCAATCTGTTTTTAGGTGTTTCTGTCCAGTATTCTTTCACATCCAGATGCTTTGGGAACTAGTACTGCTAGGAGAACCACTTGTAGTGATGGCACCATCACCATCAGAATCTTCAGAAACCGTGTTGGCACTTGTGAGGTAAATGCAATGGAGCTGCCAAACTGATGAATAAGTGGGCCATTGTTGCTTGCAGCTGATTGCAATTGGAGTTATCTGAATATAACAAAGCCTTACAAATTTTAGATTAGCTTTTTCTTTCATTAAATTTTGTATTGTATACATACAACAAACTTCTACTCTTTCTACCTTGCAGTTGTATTTCACCATTAAAGTACTGCAGTGATTTCAGGCCGTACTTTACCATACATGACAGTGAATTCAAAGAATATACAACTCGCACACAAGCCCCGTAAGTAAACCAAACTTTGTTGTGAAGGTGTTGCTTAAAGTCACTTGTAACCATAAACCTGTGTTAAGATACTACTCAACTATTCTGATTTTAAGATTTATCTTATGGAATACAATAATGAGACATCTTAAATTGTCACTGCAGTTAGGATAAAGAAGTTACTCAACAATGCCATAATTTGAGTTTCATAGGACTCTTTTGCACAGCTTAAATAGAAGTGGAAGTCTGAAAGCAAGATTAAGTTCGGCTTTTCAGTAACACTTTGCCTATGCAATATCAGCTCTGGAATAGCTCCTTTGGAAATTGTTTTATACTAATTTTAAGCAATAATTGAACACACATCTAGAATTCAACATCTGTACGTCTGTTTTGCAAAGTTAATTCATTTGGTGTCCTAGGTGAGACTGTCCTTTCAAAAGCATCTCTTCACTAAATTTGCTAGAAAAACATTGCAAATACTTCAGAAGTTAAGATCCTTTTCTAAGAGCATGAGTCTCAAATCCTGTACAAAACAGTTTTTTAAAACTGCTCTAGGGACGTCTGCTTCTTTTTAAAAAAAGATTAATATATTCTGCTTTTATTTTAAGAGCATACACCTACGGTATTTCTTATGCTATTTAAATGCAGCTTGATTTGGTAAATGGAGTATGTGTGTTAGATTCACTTACATTTTCTAAACAATTTTTTCTAGTTCCTCAACAGGCAGTGGCAGTTGTGTTGGGTTTTTAATTTGTTTGTTTTTTACTGTGTTTTTCCTCTCAAAAAAGTATTGCCAGTGGAAAAACATCTAAACATAGGCATTGTGCTTCCAGTTGTATTCCAGGGGCGTGGTTATACAGTATGTAATTTAATTTCTAAAAATAATTTCAAGAAGAATTTAACTAAACTTTAGTCACCCACGTTTTACTCATCTGTAGCAAAATATAAAGGTTGTTCAGTACCTTAGAATTTCTCTGGCTTTCTTACAGAAAAATGGCAAGGCTAGAAATAGGTGTTTAAAGCAGTGGCTCTAAGAAGGGGAAGAATGCAGATGATGCAGATTCTGTGTATTTTTATTCTCTTTAGGGAGAGGGGAGCAAGGAGTGTTTTTTTTCCTCTTTGTTTTGACTTATGCTTTTTCAAATGTTACTTTAGTGATACAAAATCAGAATTGGTTCTATTAAGTATGCTTCTAAAAGAGACCAAGTAGCTTACCACAAAATCTTGCTATTGTGTTACACGTAGCAATAAAACAACATTCCTCATGATTTTCTACCAATTTACCTTAACCCAGAGAAACTTCTCTGTGTGAAGGAAAGCCTTACTTTAAACCTTGCTGTTTTCCTCCAGCTAGTAAAAGAATGTCAGTTTGTGTACATTGGTCCAAATCAACTATGTGTGAAAGCTGCTTTTTAGTTCCCACACAACAGGCATGAAATAATTGTTATGTTAAGTTAGGCTAGGCTAGACTTACCCATCCCTAGGGTTGTGATCGTTTGAGACTATTTACTGTTTATGTTGATTTTCTCATGATGATAAGAATAAGATATAAGTCATTGCAAATTGATCTTTTTTAGAGTGCAATGGAAGAATGTGTTGAAACATTTTTATGGACACTTTATATTGTTTTGGAAGAGAAAATGTAAATCTATGATAACAGGGAAAAATCATGAGCAATATCTGCAAATCCCACTGAATTTAAATCAACGACAAACATGACTTTATCAGGATTATAGAAACACCAAAAATAACGAAACTGAATTCACAAGAGTGTGTGTAAATATGTAATCAGTATGTAAATGAAATGTTTCCAGGTGAACATGCTTGAAGAGCAGTAGGACTGGGAAGAAGTGATTTACTGGTGAAACTTGAGTCATTGAAAAGCAAGCAAAGACTTCAGAGATACTGATGTGATTACGCACTGCTCATTCTATGGTGTAATGAGGCTGGGAGATAAAAGTTGTTATTTCCATAGCTTAGGCATTATACCAAGCTACAAAGCTGTGTTCAGATTTTTGTCCTCTCTTCATGCCTGAGTTTAAAAAAATATATATTGTTATAATTAGTAAGTGGAGGCAGGAATGTAAGTCAAAAATAGTTGTAGATTAGCATAAAAATTTATACCCACTTGTCATCATGTTAAAAACATGAGATTCTTGAAACCAATCTGAAGAAGTAATGATAAGCTATTTTTAGTATAGCAGTTCCAGTGAGGTTTGCAGTTGTACTCTGTCCTTAGCTAACGTTTGGCTATAAAACAGATGGCAGCCACTATATAGAAAAATATAGGACTAACATGATGTAATCATGATATAAGTCTCAAATTCTGCAGCCCTGCACTTACTGCCTCTTCTTCTGCTTGTATGCATCCTCAAAGCCAGTTTCTATACACAGAGTAGAAAGGAAAATCTGGCGGTTTAACAGTTTTGTACCCAAGTTTACAACGTTCATGTACGTAATAACCTAATAATTGCTTTTTAACAAAGGACTCTGAAGCATTGGAAAGGAAGTAGAACAGCAAGTGTCTTTTTCTTTAATCTTGTCCTCTGAGCGGTAGCTCAGCTGAGAAGTTTTGAACAAACAGCAGTTGCATTGGACATCAATGTTCAAGTACTGAGAGTCTGTCATAATGAAACTTTGAAACATAGCAATTAGCTTTTCAAATATAGGGTTAAATTTCTGCTCATTTAAAGCAAACAAAGCCTGCAATAATGTTAGATAATCCTGTTCTCATCATTGTAAGTGGGCAGGAAATAGCTAAGAGCGTCAAGTGGAAGGTATGGCACTTTTATTCTCTGCTGCTGTTCAGACTTTGAGACATCTGTCCAGCTGTTTTCTGAAACTTAGAATCTTTAAACATGTTGTCTTACCTGCAGCTTAAAATTTAACTCTTAAATACAAAACCAGAATAATTTCAAGTTAAGAATTATAGTTGACCTCTTGTATTGATTAAGACATGTGCTCTTGCTGTCATATTTTAAACATTGCCATTGTTTTTCTAGACCATCTGTCATTCTAGGGGTGACGAATCCTTTTTTTGCTAAAACACTCCAGCACTGGCCCCACATTATTCGGATTGGAGATATTAAACTTCCAGGTAAAGTATAAACATCCTCTACAATCCTGTGTGACAAGATCTAACTGTGTACTTATTTATAAACAAACATGTAATTTAGTTTAGTTTAATTAATTTAGTTTACTACTAACCAAATACCTGTCAAAAAAACAAACAAACCACCAACTAACCAAATACCTGTCAAAAAATAAAAATCTGTCAAGTGAAATTAGGCTCTCCAGTGCTGTATGTCTTGTATTGCCCAATCTAGTATATTTAATGCAAAAGGTGGCAATATTCGTCAGTAATAATGTTTTCTCTAAACTTTCACACAATCCTGGTTCTGTATTCTACCAAAAAGGTATTAATGGAGAAACATCGATACTGATACTAATTTTAGGATTAGCAGAATATAATAGATCAGTTACAGCAAGTGCATGGAAAGTAAGATCCTTTAAAAAAGCTAAGTTAATAACGTAATTCTAATCTTCTAGCATTTCAGTAATTGTTATTTGTTCAAGGTGGACAACTTCCTTAATTTTAATGTAATATTTGATAACATATGTATGGCTGGTCTGTAATAAAATCCTGCAGTGCTGCATTTATGATAGGAAATTCCTGATTGTAGTTGTTTGCTGTGACAGGTTCTCTGTTCTGAAAGTAGGACTGTGTAAATATCCAATTAGGGTAATATACCATAACATTTGTAAAAACAAGTTACCTTGCATTTCTGCATGTACCAAAGTAATTAAAGATTACTGTGTTCAATGTAATCATGGAAGATTTTTTTATAATCAGATTTTATAATTTTTTATAGTCATGGAAGTTTTTGCTTTGCTTCAAAATACTACCCCGTCCGTGCTTCAGAATACTTGTTTCGTAAGGAGGAGGATGGAACTGTGTAGCTAAGATCTGAAAAATAGATTCTTCCTTAGACTATCGATCTGAAAGGCCATGTACTAGGTTGCTTTCAAATTGGATATACAATTTCAAGTGTGAAGTTTTAAAGTTCCAGAGGAACTGTGTAAAATGCTTAGTTGGGAAGTTCTGGAGATGTATTTGTCTGACCTGCCGTTAGAATTTTGAACTTCATTTATTTTCGTACAAAGAGAGGGCTTGTGATTTATTTTTATTTTTTCCTTTTCTCCCCACTCTGCAGTTTCAGTAATAATTTATACTATTATACAACGAGATATAAGAGGAAAATTCTACCAAGGCTGCAAGATTGTTAACAGGATTTAGGGTCTTAGGGCTGGACAAGAATATATTTGACTAGAAGCAAAACAAAACAAACAAAGAAAAAACATTTACTTTGAAACAGTGACTTAAATGGATTTTGTTATAACACATAGTCTGTGACTACTATTTAGTTTCATATATATCTAATGACTTTGATTTTGGCTAAGGTAGTAATGATTTGTTCCTGAAAGTGTTTACCCTAAGAAGGAAGATGGAATAAAGTTTGAAGTGAATGAAATAAACATTCATTGCTCAACAGTCAATATTTTCTTTGGCTACTTTGGTTCAGAAGGTTGTCATTGTTTGTGTTTTTTTAATTTTTTAGTTTTTATTTCAACAGAGAACCTTTATATAAATTAAAAGCCTGTGTGATGGTGTTAATGTTCTTACTAGATGTTTCTGTATATTTACTTGGATGCTTGTTAATGTTTCTGATACCTCTTAGAATAGGTAACATCTTAGATAATATTGTAAATATTACAAATACTTGATAATTTATTAAAATTTTATAACATCATTGTAAATTATTATATTATTATAAATATTATAAATTTTCAAAAAATCGTTGCAACATATAGCATACTAATACCTAGCAACAGGAATGGAGATTTCTAGTAAGGTGGCTTTGAATGTTTTGGCAGGTGATGTTCCAAAGCAGGTGAAAGTGAAAAAACTGAAGAACCTAAAAACTTTGGACTCCAAACCCGGTAATCAAGTTGCTTCAGAGTTAAATTACCAGTATTTTTAGTTTAAAACAAACAAACAAACCATTTTTCCTTTGGCTATATGCTACTGCTTTTTTTCTTTAGGTGTTTATACCTCTTATAAGCCATACTTGAACAAAGATGAAGAAATTGTTAAACAGTTACAAAAGGTAATACTGTAAGTCTCTTCATGGAAACACTATTGTATGCTGTCTTACAACGTTCTCATTTAGGGTTGAGCTCTGTCTACATAGCTAAAATGAAACAGCATTCTGATTCCTTTGCCCTGATTCATAAGTGAATAGATACTTTGAAATTCTCACTGTAGAAGAAAGGCCTTCTTATATATGTTTCTATAACAACATGAATGGTAAAATTCACAAAGCTAGCTTAATGTTTTAGATAATTGACATGAGCGCTCAGTTTATCTATTTTGTTTTTTCCAACTTCTGCCATCCTCCTGGTGTCTCTTTAGTCTAGAAATTTCATCCATGACATGTTCAAGAATCAGAGCTTACTAACTAAAAAATTAGCTATTGAAGGCTTGAATGTGCAGAAAGAACTCGATCCTGTTGCTTTCCTTTCATGGCTCAGGAGAAGGGGGTGCAATGTGTAAGCTTATGGCAAATGAGTACAGCAATAGTAGAACAAATACTCTGTAAGCCCTACTTACATATCAGAATTACTCTGATTTCTTTTTTTAAGGGTGTGCAACAGAAACGTCCTACAGAAGCACAGAGTGTGATTCTTCGGAGGTACTTTCTGGAATTGACAGAAAGTTTCATTATTCCACTAGTAAGTTGTATTGCATATACAAAAAAGTCTAACAAGGAAGGTTTTTTTGGTGACAGTGTACCCCAGGGGTGAATACTGGGTCCAGTACTGTTCAATATCTTCATTAATGACTTAGATGATGGGGCAGCTTTTACCCTCAGCAAGTTTGCAGGTAACACAACTCTGGGAAGAGTGGCTGATACTCTGGAGGGACGTACTGCCACTCAGGGTCCTCAGCAGGATGGAGAAATGAGCTGACAGGAACCTCATGCAGTTCAGCAAAGACAAATGCAAAGTCCTGTACCTGGAGAGGAATAACCCTATGCAGCATTCCCTATGGGGCCTGGCCAGCTGGGAGGCAGATCTACAGAAAAGGTTAAGGGGGTGCTGGTGAACACGGGGTGAACCCTAAGTCAGCAGTGTGCCCTTGTAGCAAAGAGAAACAGTGGTATCCTGGGCTGCAAGAGGAGGGCTGTTCTCAGCAGATCCAAGGGGGTGAACCTTCCCTTTTAGTCAGCACTGGTGGAGCCACACCTACAGTATCGTATCTGGGCTCCTCAATACAAGAGTCCTGTGGAACTTCTGGAGAGAGTCCAGCAAAGGGCCAGCAAGGTGATTGACTGAGGAACTGGGGCACACCAGGAAAGGCTAAGACAGTTGGGGCTGTTTAGCATAGTAGCATAGGGAAGTGAAGACTCAACCATTCTGTGATTCTATGAATAATATTTGAGCTGCAGAAATTTAACATTAGGCTATGTCTTGACTTTTCTGAAATATGGTAGTGTTACATTTATTAATGTGGTAATTAGCATAAAAACGATGCGGGAGCTTAATGTCAGAGAAGGAAATGTTTATATTCCTAGACAGCAGGTTCAGATTTCAAAAAATGAATGCTTCATTGTGTAATTGATTGCATAAACAATACACAGTACATCACAAGCAAGCATGTGAAAATGCTAAGTATAACTGCATATATTTTAACATGGGTTAAGAAGGAAGTTTGTTTAATCCTTCCTCGACACTTGTAATTGACACCCCCACCCCTTTTCTGTTTGAACTTTTTTTTGTTGGAGGTTTTTATTTTTGTGTGTGTGTGCATTTAAATATAGGGGTGTTTCTCCTGAACTTGAGAAACGGCAGTTCTGAAAAAGTAGAGTTGGAAAGTACTTGGTGATGAGAAGAGCTCTAAAATTGTTGATTCTTGTAGTAATTTGTTATGATAGCTGAGGGGTAATCTCTCTACTAATGCATGACAGATCAGCCAGCTCAACCTGTAAAGGAATGATTCTCACAAGACTTTGCTTTATCAAGTTCTATTTTTTCTGGTTTTGGGTGCAATAAAACCAATTCCTAGCAAACTCTGCATGTTCAAGTGAATCTACAAGATGCTGTTAAAATTTTACAAAACAGAGACTGACTTACATTGAAGGTTAAAATAGGCCTACTTTTCATCTAATAGGGTGTCATACAAATTACTTTTTTCAGTGAATCAGAATAATTTATTTTACAGTATCCCACTCTTCAGCAAGTGGCAGATGCCTGCTGATAAACTCTCTAAACGTGTTACTTCACCTGTTGAAATCTCTAAGAGTAAGCTGAGGGGGCAAATTTTGCCCGATCTCTAGCCAGTAAGCAGGGTTTCTTGGAGTGCTAAATGTTCACCAGATTGATTTTAATTCCTGACTAAGATGAGAATTGGCTGAAAGAAACTTAAAAGTAGGAAAATTTATCTACTCTAATAGTAAAAACTTAACCTGCCCTGTAAATTGAAATCCAGTTCTAGTGGTTGCAGACTAGTGACAAACCTTTATGCTAACAGATGAATATTAAGGTTAAGTTGCTGAATCCATGCAGGCTGACAGCTTGGAGACTTTGACTAGCACTGAAACTGAGATTTGCACTAGTCATTGGGATGATGTAAATGTGTTCTAATGTGCTCTTACCTAGCAGTTGGAGTTAGGACGTTCACAGACAGTTCTGTGTGAGGTTGAGTCATTTCTCTGGGCAAGTGTTTAAAAACAGGAAAGTGGTACCTAAGGCATTGGATTGTACGTACTGATGATCCCTTTCTGAGCTCCCTAAACACTCAGTGAATGAGCTGAACTTTTCATCGTTTTAGAGCATGCCATGACTGGCATCCAATTTCTGTTTTCATAATGTTATCAAAGCTGATTGTGTTTATAGATCAAAAAAGTATGGCCATGTGCAACAGTTTGTATTGATGTGCTTGTGTGGGCTGGCAAGGTGGAGCTGCCCCCTGTAGTCAGAGCTTAAGCTTTGGATTGGCATTCCTAAGAAATGTCTCTACCGCTGATGTTTGAGATAACCAGCTGAAGTGCTGCCAGTGCCTTTGCCATGCATTGCTACTGCAGAGAGGCCCACAGCTGATACAGCATTTGGTAGGGTAGTTCTGTATTTCTTTGTGTAAGAGACTGTTAAAAAAAAAACCCTTCCAAATACTTGATACAACACGGGATTAGTGTTTGGCATTCACCCAGGATACGAAGGCACCTGTGAGCTACCAAAATAGGATGAGAAACTATTAACTAGTGGCTGGAGTTCAGGGTATATATATTTCACATATTTATTTGCTTGCTGTCCTGCTTTCCCTTTTCTTCCGGCCTTCTAGAACCTTGCTGATGTCAGGTTCTGTAGCTGAGAAATGAAAATGGGATTAGATAAGCTCCTTCTCATATTCTCATGTGGTAAATATGTATGACCCCACCCTGTACCATTACTTAGAAGAGAACGCTCTGTGGTCACAAGTGATAAGTAAATATACACGTGGACTGTGTATCTTAAATACTGGTTATGCAAGCAACCTTTTTTTTCCCTTTCCATAGGAACGTTATGTGGCAAGTCTAATGCCTTTGCAAAAATGTATATCACCATGGAAGGTAAGGAAATACCATCGACATGAGCTGGAGGTGGGTGATTGGAGAAGACAGTTACAGTATTCTAATGATTTTTTTTTTTTGTCTTTCTGTAGAGTCCACCGCAACTGAGGCATTTTAGCCAAGATGAATTCATGAAGACGCTAGAAAAAGCAGGACCACAGCTCACTTCGGGTTTAAAAGGAGATTGGATAGGACTTTACAGGTCATTTCTTTCATCAACATTAAACAAAAAAAAGTTGTTTTGTTTTGTTTTCCTGAGCATGCTTATTGTCAGTATTGGTTTGAGGAAGACTTTATAAATCTGACTTTTGGAAAATATACTTTAATAGAAATTGTCCCTGTAAACAAGTATTATCTGTTGGGAGGTTAGAACTGGACTTTTCCCCGAACTTCATACCTAATTCCAATCAAACACAAAAATAAAAATAAGGATATTTAAAATTCAGCCTTGCTTTTTTTTTTGTCTAACGTTTATTGTCTCTGACACCTTTTATTTATGTTGATTTCTCAATATTTTTTTGGATTAATTGAAGCTACTGTTACACCACGTTTTTGTGAAATTAAACAGAGAAAGGGCCCTGATCCTTATTCAACATCAAACATAACTACTTTACAGTTGATGACATAGAAAACTGTTATCAGGATTGTAATTAAAATACAAATTTTATTTTGTTTCTGTGTTTTAACAGGCATTTTTTGAAATCACCGAACTTTGATGGCTGGTTTAGGAGCCGGCAGAAAGAAATGACACAGAAGTTGGAGGCCCTTCATTTAGAAGCACTCTGTAATGAGGTTAGAAAAATGAGTTCTCATGATTGTATTTATCAACTTGTAATAATAAAAAAATATCTCAAGTCAGTTTTACTTTTGCTGTTTGCATTGGTTGAACATAAAGTTGATAACTTTGTCAAGTACATGTAACAAAACATGAATTTGTTAACCAAGTACAGGCTAGAACTAACATAACAAAAGAAAACAGTATGATAGGCAGCTTCCTTTTTTTAAATGACTGTCATCATTTATAAAACAAATCTTTAATCTTTTTCTTCTTTTTATATATTTTGAATTTCACATTTTTCCTCAAAAATGTGTTTTTTTTCCTCTTACTTGGCAATGTTATTTCATTCAGCTTCTTTTCCCTCTGTTTCATTTGACATAACACACTTTGAGCTACTATTTAACTTTGAAGGTATAAACTAAGTGAATACCATAGAAAGTTGACAACTGATTATTTACTGATGGGAAATAAGCCTACAACTAATCAATAATAATTAGAAACTGAGATGTGAAATCTGTTATTGGTATGTAACAATCATATGTTGTAAGATCCATTCTTTACATAAGCAGGTGAGATAGCTATCAGCCAGTTGTTCTGACACAAATTATGCTGAAATAAAGGCATCACAAAAAGAGAAGAGATTGTACAGCTAAATGGGGAACAGGAAAAGCAAAAAGTACATCACAGCTTTAAAATTAAATAGATATAGATAGATCCACTAGTTAATTTAAAATAAGCTATTGATTTTTATCCCTGGATTTGTCAATTTCTAAACAGTACTTTATAGGAATCCAAACCGATTGTTCAAGTAGAGCAACCTAATAGTTTGCAGGGCAATAGCTAGGCCAGTTAGCTCACCTAGAATATATCCAAGTATATTTCATAATAATTTATTACAAAGAGAGGGATTTATGTCACAAATTCATTACAATTTCTGCTCCTTGTTAGCTTTTGCTTTTGATCTAATAGTTAAAATCTTTCTGTACATGAGAAAATGTATTTAATAGGTGAATAGTAAAGGAAGAAGAGAACAGAATTGGCATAAGGAAATTCACTTAACTACATTTTGCTGGTTATCAGCTATGTGATAGATTTCCTTTAATGCCCTAGAAATAAGAAGTGCAGCTTGGCACTATTTTAATCTATAATCATGCTGACCAATCTTGCTTGGAAAATACTCACTGCCATTTTGCATTGTAGATGCTATTTTTGAAACTAAGCCTGTTTGGCATGATTTTTTTCCTATATTTGTTCATATTGTGGTTGTGCCTTTGTCTCCTTTTACGTTAAGTCCTGAGCGAACCTGCAAATAAAGCAGATTTTGCAGTTCAGAGACAGTATGTGAGTAAAACAAGTTAGGTGAATAGCATAAAAATAAGGAAAAGGAGAAGATCCACTATGAACAGTAGGCATAAATTAATTCCACTTTTGAAAATTATATATGTTGCCATAAATACTTCAATGTTTAATTTTTATTCTGTTAGAATTTGGTTTTCTGGAGTCAGAAGCATACTGAAGTAGAAGCGGTGGATCTTGTCTTAAAGTTAAAGAACAAACTGGTAAGTATGTGAATTAAACATGGCTGTAATTTGTCTTGATAAACCAGGTAGAAGCATTATATAGTTGTGTTCACAAGTACTTCAGCAAGAATACTCTTTAAAATCTAGGTGGCTAAAGGAATCAGTCATTCCAGTTACTATAAACAAACAGTTCAGCCATGACTGAAAGCGAGCCAGCTTCCCAACATTAGCCAGCTATGTTAGAAGCATTGCAGAGAGATCTAGTTGAAAACACTTGGAACTGATTGGGAGCAAGGCTGAATCCTTATCTGATTTCTGCTTCTGAGCAGAAAACCAAACTTTCTTGTCGTTTCTGGAAGTCCAGATCAGTGTTAGCTCATGCTGGTGTATGCATGTTGAGGAAACCTGTTGTGGCAGGTTTCTAACCAGAACAGCAGGTCCAAATCCCTATTCGGTTGACAAATGAGGAATTAATCTTCCAGATTTGCTAATATGTTATTTTGGTGTCTCTTGAGGTAAACTGGCATTTTTGGTAGAAGTAATTTCTTATTGTACATTTTGCAGTTGCAGGCTGACAGAGAACATCTTCCCGTGAAAACTGACACACTGAAAAAGCTGCAGGCACACATCCATGATATTATACTAGCACTTCCAGATGACTTGCAGGATATCTTGCTCAAAACTGGCACAACGTGATTTCTACTGGCCTTTTGTGTGTGTGTGTTTGTATGTGTGCAGAAAATGGAAGGTGAATGTAGTGTTGTGGAAGACAGTGGCTTACAAAGTTCAGGACACATATCTAAATAGTATGTTAACACTACAAACGGACTACACTAGTAGTATAGTCCACTGTAATATTTTCACCGTTTTTTCCCCACTTAAGTACCAATGCAATTAAATGAATTCCTGTGTCTAATAACGTTTCAAATAAGTGCTCTTAAAGAAAAATCTGTGGGCATCTGAAATTATACCACAGTATAGGACCACAGTGCAGTGCTGGCATTGCAGAACATTTTCTAATTGGTGCTGCTATACCCAATCCTGTTAACTCAGGGGTAAGCAATATTGATCCTGTACTGTCCTGTTGATGTAGTATCTGCCTTTTTTTTTTTTTTTTTAAATTGGATAATATGTGACTTGGTCAGTATGCATCATATTTGAGGTATTTTACTGGTAAACCATCAACAGTTTACAAAACTGTTTCAGGGACAGCTGAAATCATCAGACTGGTTCTTAACTTTCTTCCATTCACCTTCTTAACTCTTTCCAAAGACCATATTGATTTAGAGAATCATTAGAGAACAGAAGGCAGCTGACAGAAACTTCCTGAAGAGAAGCCTTTTCTATTCAATGTCAGTTAATTAGGGTGCTCTTATTCACATGCCTTAAATAAATATATACTAATTTGTGGCTTTAAACTGCTGACATTCAGGATTTAAAGTGGATCACCAGTGTAAATGTATTCATCACAGTAACAGTATTCATCACAGGAAGTAAGCAGTAGTGTTCTAAAACAGAATTTAAAATCAATGACTTCAGTAGAGTTAGCTGATACGCAATCTGTTTCGGTTGGAGATCATAGCTTCTGTTTGAAATTTTTATAAATATATTTTTTTAATTATTTTTGTTTTTACTTACACCAGTAGGGTCTTTGAGGAGCTAACAGGGTGGGAGGAGATGATGTTGGGTTCAGCTGACAAAAGCCTATGGAGAGGTCAAACTGTGGCAAGAAAAGATTGTAGTAGGAAATTGTTCTTGGTATATGCATATAGCAGATGAGCATAAAGAATAATTTCCTCTTGCATACTAAGCAACAAGAACATGATGTTTTTCTTGAACAAGGTTCTGTGGTAATTAAAACTCAGCTGCTCCACATGCAGTGTTGTACTTTGACCAATTTCAAGTAGAATAAACTTAATGCTATAGTGTACGCACAGCATAAACTTTTGTATAACAAGTGGATCACGGTTATCAAAAAAATCTGCTTTTAAGTGCTTGGATAGAACTTTTAAAAACATGACATTGTAATCCTGCTATAAGAAAATGCTTTTGTATGATAAATATTTCATACCATCTTTCTAAAAATGTCTTATTTAGATAGTGTCACAATTGTATTTTTATGAAGATGTGTATTTTAATACTGTTATGGTTTGTATACAATTACTCATGACCAAAAGTTTAATGTATCTATTATGTTACTTAAACTACTTCACTTTAGCATTACTTTCTAACTTGGAATTTCTTTTGCGCACCATGATGAATATGATTTCTAATCTAGAAATTAATAAGTGGCCATTCTTATACTAAATTTAACTTGGAGCACTGTGTAGCTTCTTGGACCCCTATAAGCTGGTAACAACTGATAAATATTATTACATGACTGCAAATATGTATTTTTGTAAAAGAAAATAAATGGGTTTGTTTTTTTGGACTTATGAGTCTTAGATGCAGGGTATGACTTTTTATTTTTTTCTCTTGGGTAAGCAAAGCTGCTCAGCATCTCTTAGAGAGAGACCTCTGCTTAGTCAGACTTTGTGAATCTGTATCATGTAAGTGACCAGAAATACATGATGCAATGGAGTGTTGTAGTTTGATCATGCATCATGGTTATTGTGTGATATGGATCCTGCAACTCTAAGAATCCAAATAGCAGAGACTGACTTCCAAGCAAAATTTATCCACTCTTCAAACTATTTCCTGTACACAGCTGACAGGCCCTGGAGAAACATGACAGTGGGAAGCAGGCTGCAAGCAAAGTTCAATTCACGTTTCTTTAATGGAGGTGACGTTAGCTTCAATCCCTGAACTGGATGTTTAAACAGAATTATTTGAACCTTTCTCAAAAGAAAGGCAAAAAGGAAAGTTGCACAGGGTTATTTGCTCTGTAATGCTTCTTGTAATAGTGGTTCAGAAGTGCCTTAAGCTAGAGCTGCAAGCCTTGGCCAGAGGTGGGCAGGAGGGTGGAGCAGCCCTGTCCTGCTCCCTGCAGGTTTTTGGTTGCCCCCTGCCCTTCCACCTGCCCCTTTCATGGGAAGGGCTCAGAACCCAGAGCCAGGCTTGGAAATAATCACAGTTCTATACAGACTAAAGAAAGCTGTGTGTGGGGATCAGAGATTTTCCTTCTCACGTCATACCTCCCAAAAAGGAACACGTTGCTACTAAAACGTGGCTCGTTTCGGTTTTCATTCCCGTGTCTGTGCTCTGCCTGCTTCCTGCTGGGGCAGCCGTGCACACACCTTGGTGCCAGCATCACCTTGTTTACATTCCCTCTGCACCTTCTGGCTCCAGTCAGAGAAACAAAATCAGGAGCAGACCTGCTGCGATCAGCGCTCCTGGGGCTGGGGCTTTGGGCTGTTTTGTTTTGTTTTGACTTTTTTTTGTTTATTTTTTTACTGTGTGTTCTGTTTGTTACTAGGACATCTTTGGGGTCTCCCTGGGGCTGTTTTACCCCCCAAAACCACCCTTTCGTGCTCTCCACACCCCTTTGGCCCTGCTGGCTGCGCCAGCGACGCTTGAGGCGCCCCGTGGGCGAGTCCCAGGGGCCGGGGGGCGAGCTGTGGCCACGCACAATGCCAGGCCTGGGCCGCTACACGCCCCGCGGACTACATTTCCCAGCATGCCGCGCTCCGCGGGCAGCCGGAAGCAGCGGCGAGGCGGGAGCGAAGCCCTTCGCCTACACCCCCCGGCACGCACCAGCGGCGGCGCTGAGAGGGGAGCGAAGCGCGGAGCGGCCGCGGCGCCTGCTGGGAAACGTAGTCCCCGCCGCCGTTGGGCGTTCGGGCAGGGCGGCGGGCGGGGATGTGGCGAGCGTGACGTGATTTTGTCCGCGTTGGAGCCGGGGCGGCCGTGGCGAGCGTGACGTGGCACAGAGCGAGCGAGGGAGCGACGAGGCTCCGGGCACCGAGCAGCAGCAGCCGCCGCCCGCCCCATATAAATCGGCGCCGCCCGCCCGCCGCCAGCCGTCCCCGGAGCCGGGCCGCGCTCCCCTCCCTCTCCCTCTGCCACCTCCACAACCGCCGCCGCCATGGGCCTCACCATCTCCTCGCTCTTCTCCCGCCTCTTCGGCAAGAAGCAGATGCGCATCCTCATGGGTAAGGGCCCGCCGGGCCTCGCGTCCTGCCCGCCGGCCTCCTCAGCCTCCCCTCACGGCCTCCCCCCCGCTCCCCTCAGGGTCGTTGGGGAGCGAAGGGGGAGGATGGGGGTGGCGGGGGGGCCGCCCTTCCTCCTCATCCTCCTCCTCATCCTCATCCTTGTTCTCCTCGCCCTCTCCTGCCGCCCCCCCGGCAGTTGTTTGAACCCCGAGGCTCGCCCCTCAGGGCTGAGGGGGGGGTCCTGGGGTTCTCCCCTCGCCCCGCCATGGCCGATGTTCCTGCAGCCGAGGGCTCGGCGCCGCTGCTTTGCGAAAGGAGAGGCCCTGGCAGAGCATCTGCGCGCTGGGCTTCCTCCCCGCTCCGCGCACGAGACCGTAAAACCCCGTAGGTTGGCTTTTTTAATGCTTAATGAGTTTTACTGCCTGGCCGTAATTATTTATTTGGGCCTGGATTATGGTTCGTCGTGCAGCAGCCGAAGCCAGGAGCTGTTGAAGATTCCCACTGTAAGGTTGCAGTTCAAAAGGTCAAAGCGAGCGCACACTGCCTGCCTGCCTGCACCATTTCCTCCTCCGCTCCAACTCTTCCCTTCCTTCCTCCACCCTGCCGAGCTTTATGCACAACCGGATCTTAATCCCCCCCTTTTTTTTTTTTTCTCACATTCTTTTACCAAAGCGAGTGGAACTTGACTCGTAGTTGTCTGAAGTAGCTCGTCCTAAGAAATTTTATGAATTGCTTACGTCGACGTAGCCAGCAATAGGGCTGGGGCCTGACTATGAAACTTCTTGGCACGCTGGCTCAGCCTTAATGCTGCACTGCAGACACCAAATGCACCTTTTTTAAATGATAATTTTTCATGCTCTGCATACATTTTGTGATGACAGAGTTTTCGTTACACGCGCAGTAATTTTTATTGTAAATTCTGTGCTTGAAATGAGAGACTCTCATCCATTTCAAAATAACCTGAGTAATTTCTGTCTTTTGAGACAACACAGGACATCTGTTAGTTTCAAGGAAGTGATTTGACTGTCTGCCTAGCAGTCGGACTCTTCATATGACTCTAAATGAGTGATGCGAAATCTTCAAATGAGCTCGACTGTAACATGAGATGGTGTCAATGATGCTTGTAGCTCTTTTGCATTCTGCAAAATAATGAAAACAGGCACGCAACACCAGACAAATCAAAAGAACTTGCCAGGGCTTTAGTTTCTTCATCGGTAATTAGCTCAAATGAGGTTAGATATGGGTTAGGGAGTTGTGCTTTCTGCTAGTTGCTGCATCAGTTTCTTCTGACTACGATTTCAGTGCTTTTACCCTATTCAAATGTAGGGCAGGGTGAGAGCAGGAGAATGCTCCATGCTTGTTACGTAGTATGAGAGGAAAAAATGTTTCCTATATTATGATGAGGGTGTAGTGTAGATCCTAAACTGGGTGTTTAGAAGCAGGATATGTACTGTGAATTGCATAATTCACCTGTAAAGTGTCAAAGAAGCTCAATGTAGCATTGTGCATTGTATGTTGCTACTTTGAGGAGAGATGTCTGAACACTGAGACTGAATTAAACTTTTCCTCAGAGGTGGTAACTTTAGATTTATGCTTTGAAAATGAGCTCGTAAGGTTAGGCAGTTAATTTTTTTTTGCATGTGGCATACTGATGAAGTAACTGAATGGGGTAAGATGTTCATGAAGAAATATTAAGGGGGGAAATATTATAGGAGTGAGTTGATAGTGAACAGATGACTCATTTATAATTCATACTTCCTTTTCACAGCTTTCTTGTGTTTCTCTGAAATTCAAGTTAAGTAGAATTAATCTAGCTCGTAAAACAGACTCGATGTTACTGAGTTATGCAGAATTTGAGTACATATCATCGGGTGTTTTGAGGGCACCTGAAACTTTCATTGCCAACAGCAAACAGCACATCATCTTTTATAGTCTCAAGCTACATTTGTAGTGAAAGGTGCTGGTATGTCATTATGGAGCTTTCTTTTCAGGTGCCTTTGAATAATAAGGTGCATTTCAGAAATATTAACTTGCTTCTGAAGAAAGGAATGTAAAATAATTCCTGGATCTACTTTATAAATGGAAGTGACGTAAGAGAAGAGAAAAGAAATAACAAAAGGGAAGGATCAAGTGACTTACTGTTAGACAAGGCAACCAGGGCATTACAGCAGAGAAACTCAGTCCTGATCCTACATGGACGTGTCTCTAAAACTTCACTCGTACTTCTTATGCTTAAAAAGGAACAGTATTCATTGGGTGCCTTTCAGTGCCATAATTCAGCCTGCTATCTTCTGGTATAGTTGTGTGAATGGTAACCAAGATAATAGCTACTCAGAAGCTTCAAATACAAAGGTAATTGTTAAATACATTTTTAAAAAAGGCCAGATTCTTTGGGGAACGTTATCGTGCAGAGCACAACTATTTAGCAGTTTTTTTATTATTTTCTTTAAGCTACTGTGCACTTGCATGCTGTTGGCTTTCTTCATGCATGTGTTTTCTTGAAGCTGTATTAAGAATTGCCCCTTTGGGGCCTCCAAAGAGTTACCACTGGAAACTAAGCCTGAAAGAGGACTAGTATGTGAAGGATAAATAAAGACAAGTGTTAAGAGAACTGGTATTGAGCTAAAAGAAGTGAAGGAGTAGCCATCTCTAATGAATTGGGCTACAGTAATTTTGTTTATCTTTAAGCTGTTGTTTGTCACAAGGTAGACTTCTTTAATTAGTTAAATCCAGTGGAAGCTCCTCCCACCCCCTCTCTGATCAAAGTAGGAAGCTGGGGATTGTTGGGGGGGGTGTGATGTGGTGTTGGGGTTGCTGTTCCCAGGGACAAGCAAACTGCATGCTGGAGATGTAGAAGCGTGATGGACAGACTATAAATAAAACATCCTGAAGAGAAGTAAAGGACCTAGAACTACCCTTGTTTTAACAGCAGCTGGAAGCTCTGTAGGTGTTTTTTCTCTAGCTAGAGGAAGAGGATGTTTGACTTAAATTGTTTCAAGTGCAAGTCGGAGCTTCCCATTTGTACTTGAATTGTAATCTCGGTGCTTTGTGCTGTTAAGTGTTGGCTGTAATACCCTACATCGAGATTCTTACACTTACACCTTGTCCTCTTGGCGATGGATAGTCACAGTGGGAGCAGGGTGGACATCTAGAGTAGGAAATTTATATTATTTGAGGATTTAAGACTTAAATTGAGGTTACTATCAAGATCAACACCTAAGCTTTATGATACGGAAGTAACTCCTAGATTTACATTTAGTGTTACAGAGTAAACATAAATGTATTTATTCTTGGAAAACACATGATCCAGCAAGTAGTATAAACTGCTGGACTCCTAAAAGCTTCCTAGTGGCTCTAAAAATTAAAAGTGACTTGGTACTCTGACTTCTTTTGTTCTAAAAAGGGGAAAATCGGCAAACTGGAATAAAAAGTATGAACAGAGGCTATGCTGCTGGTAGCTATTGATAATTTAAACTTCAGGTTTCTAATTTGACTTAAAGTGGCAGTTTCTGCGAGTGGGGTCATGATGATTTGCAGAAACCTCTGTTAAAAGCTGCTGTCTCAACAGTGGAGTCAGAAGAAGAAAACGTCTGTCCATAACTCAGCTTGCCTCTGTGCAAAGTTCAACGGCTTAATTAAAATTGTGGATAAGAGTGGGCTTAAGCAAAGGCTCTGGGCTTTGTGCTCACAGAGCTAACGTGGCCTGCCAATGCCATCAAGGCAGCAGGAGGTTCTGGAGTAAGAGCAGGGTGGGTAGCTGGGGCAATTGTTTCTGGAGTTCAGACAACTTAAAATTCTTGACTAATTTCTGTTTTCTTTGTTGTTGTTGACTGGGGGAAGTTCGTGAGCATGTGTATCTTTAATTTGGTGGTTCACTTACCGGAAAACTTTTATATACGATGCATGTACACAATATGCTTTCTTGTAGATATCCAGGCATCCTAGAAACATTTGCTTGAGGATGACCTATGTAATAATATTGGGTTTCAAGCATTGTGCTATTAAAGCATTGTTTTTCAGCTTAGATGGAGTGTACGAGGGTTTCAGAGTTTGCTTAAAGGGTTTTTTAAGGCTACCTGGCACTTCAGTGATACAGGGAAAATGCTAATGCTTACAAGTTTCATGACTTGTTCCTGTGAAACTGCACTCTGTTTTTTGTTCTTGTGCATTTGGTTCTAGACCAATGCTTAGACAGTAACTTTAAGTAAGACTTTAAGGTTTTTAAGTTTAATTTGAGCATTTGGGGAATCTATTCCTTCTCAAAGAGCTTTGTTCCTGATGGTAGTTTTTTTTCCCCTTTTACTCCATTATATTAGTGCTTAGAACAATTTTTTTTTACACAATAACAATACCAAAGAAACTGCATTCACATCTATGATCTTGTTCGTGGTATTGAAATATAGAACGCTTAGGTTTTATAGTTTCCTGTAACCCAGTTGTTTCTGTCTTGAGAAGGAGGCAGCTTTTTAAGAGTTGGGTTTCGTTCTGAATAAGTCGGGTATTTTCAATTCCATGTTATTGCAGTGCCAAGGAAATGGTTGTATTGTTAGTAGTCAAGTCATTGAGCACTCAAAGCTTATGTATGGCAGTCACCAAGTAGGAAATTAGTGGAGAACACTTAGCAGTGTTATCAACAAAGGATGACAGTAGGTTTCTGCTCTAAGTATTATTCGATTCTTCTATGTGGGTTTTATTTTTGCTTGGGCAAAAATTTTAAATTGCACAAATAGACATCTTATTCAAGCTATTGCTTGCTGAGTGCTTAGAACCTACTTCTTATTTAGGTGTTTGTGCTCAGCATTGGATTATAACATAAATAACTGTATTTTGAGTTGCTCTTGCAAGCTCTGAAATGTCTAACACTAAGCAGTTGCACAAACAACTTTAGGAAACTACAGCGTGTGCCTATAATGTCAGTGATGCTTCTCAAAAAAACAGCTTTAAGGCTCCAGTTTCCTTTTTTTAAGGATCATGTTTTTACCCTAGAACTTGCCTTTTAAAACTGCAAGCTTAATTGTAGTTGTAACACCAGAAGAGCAAATTCCAGTGCAGGAGGCCTTCTATAAGGATCAAAAGCAGATTCTCCTAAAGAAAGCATCCTTGGGGGTCTCAATGAGTAGAAGTGATGTCATGGAAAGAGTTACAGCCCTTATGGTCTACGTGGAAGGAGAGCAGGCTTTACCTAACATGCTTGCGGTTTTGTTACTGCAAGAGAAATATTTTAGTGAAGGAACAAGGGGCTGCAATGAGAGAGAGGAGCAGTTGTGTGATCAGTTAGAAGTGACATTCTGCTTGTAGAATGTTTCCAGGCACTTAAGACCATCTTAACTTACAGAGAAGAAACTTTCAAAGACAATCAGAAAACGTAAGTAGCACAAACTTGAAGGAAGAAGACTAGAAACTTCTGCGTCTGTAGGTTGTGGTTGAAAATGTGTTATTGAGCTTGTTTTCTTTGCTGCCTGTGCTCTGTCTCGGTGCTGGGTAGAGAAGGTGGGGCAAAGCATACAGTACTATATCAACAGTGACTTAGAGTATTTAAACAGTTGTGTCCTCTTGGGGTGGAAAAAAAAAGCTAATACTCTACATTTAAAATGGCCTACCTTTGAAATGGAGAGGTTGTAGTTCTTATTGTGAACTAAGCCAAATTTTCTGTTTCTTGTAGTTGGTTTGGATGCTGCTGGTAAGACAACCATCCTTTATAAGCTGAAGCTAGGAGAAATTGTCACCACAATCCCCACTATTGGTAAGATAACCAATTCTCATGTCTTTAACCAATTCTTGTCTCCATTCTCATTACTCTGTATTTCTGCTCTGGAGGTGGGCTTCTGAGAGTAGGAATTTGTTGACCTTGCTGTTAATGTAGGAATTAAAACAAATGTGAGCTTTTCAGAATAATTTGTAAGATCTGGTAATGCCATGGCAGAGTAACTGTCCAACTGTATCCCACCAAACATGCATCCAGACTGGAATCCTGCTCTTGACAGTGGCCAGCAGCAAGTGCTCAGGAGTATGGGAATCAACGAGGTATCAGTACTTAGCCCAAGCACCATGAGCCTCCAGCAGGTTGTGGCTGAAAGACTCTGAACTAAAGGTGGTGTACTTGGGTGTAAATGACTTTATTTTTTCTTTCAGTCACTTTTATTTTTGATTTCCCAAAAAATAAAATGGCTTATCAGAATTTAATTGCTAGAAGTAGCACTTGAAGTTGCTGTCTTTTAACATGATTAGAATTACCATTTTAACAATAGCATTAACTGTTTCTAACTACTTGACTCTTTTATTTCAGGTTTTAATGTGGAAACAGTAGAATACAAAAACATCTGTTTCACGGTTTGGGATGTTGGTGGTCAAGATAAAATTAGACCTCTTTGGAGGCATTATTTCCAAAATACACAGGTAAGAGTTTTAAGACAACAGTAGTTAATGACTTGTTTTGTAAAGACTCATTGTTTTGTACCCTATATACTCTGTGTTCTATAGCATAAATATGGGAAGTTGTCTTCTGTTCCTTCCTGTCAGAAGGGTTCCTCACTATCTTCCTAAAGTTGTGAGGATACCCAGATTTTATTCTAGTGGAAGCTAGGTTGTTACCCTGAAGGCTTCAGGTCTTAGTCATGAACATAGCCTGGCAAGGATGAAGCCCTTAGAATCTGTCAGTATTCAGTAATATGTTAGCTTATGAAACCTTACTGGTTTTTTTTTGTCTTGTTTGTTTGTTTTTCAAATTAACAGTTCCCAATCTAGCATATAAACTGACATTTCTGATTTTTTAAATTTATTTAAAAGATGTAGTTTAATTTTGCAGTTGCTACTCATTATGTAGCTGTTCAGACAGGTATCTTGCATTCCTTGAACAGGTTTTTTTTTTTTTTTTTGTTAAATTTGCTTCCATAAGAGTTCTTTAATTTTTAAAATGATATTGGGTGTTTGCATTTTACAATGGTTTTTCAAAACTGCTTAACTTTCTTGCAGGGCCTCATTTTTGTGGTGGATAGCAATGACAGAGAGAGAATCCAGGAGGCAGCGGAAGAGCTGCAGAAAATGGTAAATGTTGATACCTTTTATTTTTTTTATGTATCAGATTCCTGAACAGATTTCTTTTTTTTCCAAGTTGAGGGGGTTTGTAGAGTGCATACTGTATGTACCAGTTAGTGCTAGTTTAAGTAGTGCATTGAGCTGTAGTTACAACTCCGTAGAGTGCTTTAGCTCAAGAACTACCAATGTGTCAAAACCTTTCTTTCATTTGCTAGAACATTAAGAGAAATGCAGCAGATGGAAGAACAATTTTAGTAAAACAGATTGCCATGAAACTCTCAGCACCAATGTCCTAATAAATTTAAATGCCTAATGAAAGAATATTTCCTTACATGTGAAAATTATGTTGGTACCAGATAAATTTCACTATGGACTTGCTAGCGACTTCAGGAGCAAGAACTAAAAAACTTATGCTTTAAACAGTGTTTAGATTCCTTTAGTGCTTGTTGACATACTTAACAGAGATAATTCAATAACGTGGCCATTTTTTTTCCTATTAGCTTCAAGAGGATGAGCTGCGAGATGCAGTGCTGCTTCTGTTTGCAAACAAACAAGATCTGCCAAATGCCATGGCAATCAGTGAAATGACAGATAAACTAGGTCTTCAGTCCCTGCGTAGCAGAACTGTAAGTGCTGAACTTGCCTGGTTGCTAATTCTGGCTTCCCTTATTGTATATCATAAAAATATTTTCTTTAAAGGAAAGGGAAGTTTCTACCTCTTTTTGTAGAAAGATGAGCATTGTCTGTGGACAGTGCTTAAGGTTTTCCTTCAAAATACTTGATTTAGAAGTATAATCCAATTTGTACAGCTGTTGCAGGTGTTTCATCTCTTAGCTCTTTCTGGAAAAATAGAAATACTCCAGGCTGTTACTGAACTCTAGCTGTCAATGTTTGACAAAGAGTGTGGTGGGCTTGCCTGTTGTCTCAGTACTAGCTGTTCTTGGGGAGAAAATGCATTCTGCGTTCTTACCTCTCCAGAGATGGGAGGAAATTAAGTAGCTGCTGAGTCATTAGATTCCATCTGCACAAGCCTTAGAGATGTATGGTTGCTTCACATAAACAGTCTATCTTTAGGTAATACTCAGTCTCTTTGTTGACACACCAAGATGATAATTTAAGATGTCTTAGAGGTCCATTAAATTAGATAATTCCACACCCATTTCTTGGAGAGCTGTCTTGGAAAACCAAGAAGCTGTCTTCCTGCATAGAAAACAAATGCAAATTCTGATTTTTTTTTCTTCTTGATGAACTAAATAGTGTTCTGGTTTTTGTTAGACATCCAAAAGCTCTGCGTTGGCCTAAACCCTACTTATCTTGTATATATTTTTCAAAACTTTAAAAAATACCCTCTGCTCAATATTGATTCTATGGTACAAAATTATGTTTAAAGAATGTTTGAGCGTTGATCTGAGCGTCACCCACAGTGATAATTTAAATACTAGCAAAATTCAAACTAAGTTTACTTTTTTTGTCTGTGTTCTGTGTTAACAGTGGTACGTCCAAGCTACCTGTGCTACGCAAGGAACTGGTCTGTATGAGGGACTTGACTGGCTGTCAAATGAACTCTCAAAACGCTAACTCAAACTGGATGACTCTTTCACCAGGGACATGTTTGATATAAGTGGTCTAGGCTTGTTACAACAAAATTAGTTTGCATCTTGGTTATTACAGTATCTGGAACTGATATTTGGGCAGGATATTAAAGCGTTTCAACTTATTTTGTTGCCAATTATTGTTTACCGAGCTACATGTTGCAAAGGTAGCAATATGCTTGGGTAAAAATCTCCTTAACTTGGACAAAGTGTATCTTCTGATTTTATTCCCCTTGTTAGTCTAAATGCCTGAATATAGTTATTGTGACATCTTTGAGATCTGTTTTGAATACTTTTTGAGCCCTGATAAATTAATGTTTTAATTTTTTTCTCCCTGCTACTTTTAGTTTACTGATGCCCTGTTTCATTCCTCAGACAGTCTGCTGATTTAAAAATGTAGCATTCTGTATGTATTTATTTCTATCCCTTGCCAAGAAGAATTCCTAATATTGCTTGTTCCCGCCAAGAAAATGCTCTAAAACACTATTCAAATCTACTGCACTGAGGAACATTTTTATTAATCTTTGGGTTCTATTAGCCCGACTTGCCTTTGTGTGAATTGGATTCGATGGGTAGAATAGTTCTGTGCTGGTTGCGAAGAGCTCATGTTGAGGTTGTTTTTAATATTCAGCAGATTGTCTTCCTTTATATTGTATCTTTTTTTATGTTGCATGTTGCTTTTTGGTATCAGCCTGACTATTTTCGCCCAGTGTATAATAGTTCTGCTGAAGTTTTACTGTTTGTTGGTGAACATATCTTCATAAAGAGATTTTGGAAAATTCATCAAACTCAATGGATTAGTTTATTCATAACCCACTTGGAATTATTCCTAATAAAATGATAAAATGTATAGTTCCGTGTATGCTCTTCTTGATTCCTGAAATAGTTGAATTGCAAGTTGTCACTTAATCATTTTCCATAAACTGAGTTTTCCTGCAGCTTGAATGTGAACATAAATCTCATTTTCACTTGTTTGGAGCTATATAGATGGGGACACAAAGTGGGCAACGAAGTTGTATACAGTGCAGTAGAGTAGTTGTCATAAAGACATATGATTCTGTAAGTGTCTTTTGAAGTTGTAAATCTAAAATTCTTTTTAAGATGTCCAGATATGAAAATACTAACAGTTACAAAAATGGTAATAAAACAAGTACGAACTGCCTGAAAAGCATGCATGTCTGTTTCGTAGTTGTTTCTACGTTTAAAAACAACCTGGGGGCTAGCAGGAGAATCACAAATTCTGTTGGTGGCTAGCTAGAAAGTTAACTCAAACACTTACACAGGGCTTTAACCAATACTATGCTTATGGTGATGGTCACCCCCAAAAATAAGGTCTATGTAACTGCTACTGTGTGCTTTCATACTTATGCCTCCCTCTTCCCTATCATGGTTCCAAAATATTTAAATTAACATGTTTTTTTGTTTTTTTGTTTTTTGTTTTTTTTTAGAACGTTTTTCTCTTGTTCTGTCTGCTGTACAGATACAAACATGGCTCAATCTTGCATATTAATTATATGTCTTTAGGAACCCAGAGCACGATCTCACTGCAGATTTAGCTCACGCTTTTCTCTTATTTTTAGTGCAGGTCTTGCTATCTTGCTACAAGAATTCCCAGTGACAAGGTCTGATAAGCTCAAGCAAGCTTAGATTAAGAGCAACTCCCAAGGCAGGTTCTGCTGTAGCTGAGACTGAAGTTTCTAGGAAGTAGTGGTACTGCAAACACACAACTGGAGGAAATTCCAGAGCCCTTGAAACGAGTCATTGACTCTCCTCAGCATGTAACAGTAACCCAGGAGATAGTTAAGGTGAGTAAGGTTTTGCTTGCACCTTTAATGGGTTGCTGATTACATATTAACCTGAGTGGATATGTCTGCTCTTTGGATCAGCAGCTGTTAATATGCATATTTCTTGTAAGGCAGTTGCTTGAAATAAACCTTGAAAGGAACACCTTGCTCAGAAGAGCTGGTTGGTCTGTAATGTGGGATGTATTGCTAGTCCCGGGGGGGTAAAATGAAATAATTATTGTGACACATTAAATGCCCTCTCCTCTTCCAAGGTAGACATTAGACTAAAAACACAAGCAGGTACATGGAAAACAGAAGACTTATCTTGAAGGAAAGATTATTTTCAGTAAAGATAGATGACTTCGTTGTTTTAATTCTTTAAGATGCTTTTGAGTAAATATGGTAGCAACTACACTTTTGAGTTACAGCATGTGAGTAGTAGTTAATATGGCAAAGGGTCACTGTGTTTGGCTTAGCGTACCAGTAGGTTGTAATTCTGCTATAAAATGAGTGATTTACAAGATCAGTCAAAGTAGTAAAGATCTTCAACCTCACTTAAAAGTGCAGTGAGGTCTGCATGAGGGGTGAGTGAAGACTACAGCTTATACTGGAAGGCAGGAGCCAGTGAGAAAAGAAATGTCTGCCTCCTGAGATAACAGCTAGTCAGAGCATGTGCTGGAGCAGTGCTCTCCTGAGTTTATTGCATCCTGTATCAGAGAAGGGAAAATAGATGAGAAGGCAAAATGAGATGTTCCTTTTTTCCTTTAACTGGCTAGAAAGGTGTAGCAATGAACATACTTGAAAAATGCTGAAAGAATACTGCCTGATTTTTTATTTTTACTTTTTATGTGGAAGACATGGAGAATTCCACTAGCTGGAATCACAGATGAGTTCAGGGTTATGAAATAAAATGGCAACAAGCTTAATGGGGCTCCTATTAAAGTGGGATCTAGAGCTGCTTTAGGGAAGAATTCATTGCTAGGCAAGATATGCCTAGCTGTATAGGGGGAACTAAATCGAGAGCTAAAAATCACCTTGTGTAGTTGTGTAGGGTAGGAAGTACAATGTATGACTTCATAAGATGTAAAAACAGGTTGGGAGCATGGGAGGTGTGGGTTAGTGGTGTATCTAAGGCTTGTTTCTCGCACCACCCCACTCATCCCTTGCCTCCCAGGAAGAAAATCAGAAGTCTTTTGTTTTTCCTTACCTAAACCCCAGTGCTGTGTTCTCACTCCAGAAATGCCTGCCTAATGCCTGACACATCGCTGCTATTGGCAGTTGGCCCGGGCTGGGCTGCTGCATTTTACTAATTAAACCAGGGATACTTGTGCTGGAGAGCAGCCAGCGCTAACTTGCGGGGCTGTATTTCTTCCCATAGATATTAAGGGATTAAATGCCATGTGCAAGGACCGTCTACTTTACTGGGTCTGTTCTAGTGCTGTGCTTTCCCTTATCAGTTGCTTCCTCCAGATGCCAGCTGTTCTGTGCTCTTCCTCTCCCTAGTCTGCAAGGAGGCAAAAGAAGCAACCCAAATTACTGATAACGGGGATTAAGAGGGACGTACTGCTTCTTGGAAGAGAGACGCAATACCAGGCAGGTCTGTTCTCTGTGCAGCTCCATCTTGTGGTACTATGGAGAAATTAATTTTTTTTCAATGTTCTGGAAAATAAGAGTACACAGTTCTAATGGGTAGATATTAAAAAGGAGGAAAAGCATACTGTTGCGGTTTAACCTGGCTGGCAGCTAAACACCACACAGCCGTTTGCTCACCCTCTCCCCTCCCTCTCTGGGATGGGGGAGAGAAATGGGAAAATGAAGCCTGTGAGTTGACATAAAGACAGTTTACTAAGACAGGAAAATAATAATAACAATAATGATAATAGTACTATTAATAATAATGTGTACGAAAGAAGTGATGCACAATGCAATTGCTCACCACCTGCTGACCGATGCCCAGCCTAACCCCAAGCAGCCTGGCCCCCCCACCCCGGCTAGCCACCCCTATCTATTGTTCAGCAGGACCCCAGATGGTATGGAATACCCCTTTGGCCAGTTTGGGTCAGCTGTCTGGGGTCTGTCCCCTCCCAGCTCTCGCTGCACCCCCAGCCTGCCCGCTGGCAGGACAGAGCAATAAGCTGAAATGTCCTTGGCTTGGTGTAAGTACTGTTCTGCGACAGTTAAAACATTGGGGTGTTATCAGCACTCTTCTCATCCTAAGCCAAAACACAGCACCCTACCAGCTCCTAGGAGGAAAATTAACTCTGTCCTAACTGACACCAGGACACGTACGTGTTCTCAATTTCTAAGGGGAGCTTAGCCTATGTAAGCAATACAACTCCACTTCCACGCTTACAATTGCAATAAGGATCTTATTCTAAGTGGCTGAGGGATTTCTCTTCAACATGCCATATGCTTGCAAACATTAGGTCTTCAGGTGTAAGCTTTCCCTCATTTACTAAATCAGTGAATATTCTTTGCCTAGGTATAAGGTTTATGGTCTCCAGCACAAAATTTTCTCCTTATTTCTGTATCTTGAAGTTCAATTATAAACTGGATGTTTTTTTACTATCAGCTCTGTAGCGTACAAGAGGACAGATACCACCACCAAATCATACACAAGGCTGAATTTCACTTCCCTTTTTAAGGGAATTTTCACTTCCCTTTTTAGCAGAGACCAGTAACTGACCAAGGACCAATCCACAGTATTTGGGGTCCAATTTTACAGGCTGGGTATTGTCCTTCACTCTGCATTGCAATGATCTAACATCATTTGTTGCCACATTTTGTGTTCTGCTTCCACTTTAATCATCCAAAGGCCCTTGGCTACCATTTGGCTTGGTTAAAATGCTAATTAGCAAAAATTGGCATCTGAAGATTTTACATATAAGCTTACTGAAGCTCATTACTGTAAATGAGAGCACTTCCAATGATGTTGAAATGATGCTGAAGCAGGTACTGCCTGGATGACTTATTCCCAGTTCCAAGCCTGTATCTTGTTTTTAGGGTACAAGATGCTCATGGTGAACCAGCTCAGGAAAATGACCCACTGAAATCTTAATACAATTAAGAGAAGACCCTGTATTTTAGCTGGATCATTTCCATATTTTAATCTGGTATGCATAAGCAGAAACAAATAGCAGAACTCAGAAGTGGTGGAGTAGGATCAGGTAAAAGAGGTTGGGATGAAAGGAAAAAGAGAAAATGACTGCTTATGTTGCTTGAAAAATGAACAAAACCCCCCCACATATTACTGGAACAGTCCTTTTGTCAGTTCCTGTTTATCTTTATGGAAAAAGCTACCTTTCCCTGCAACTGAAGCCAGTTACAAGCACCCTTTGTGACTACAGGGGCACAAGTTTTGGCTCCTGTTTATTTGAAGTTAATCCTTACTTGATTTTTTTTTCCATATACTAGGAAAGGGTTCAGAGATCCTCTTTGCCTGCATTTCCTTAACACTCTCCTTTTACCTTTTTAGATCACTTTATAGCTTCTCTTAAGAAAGCATTTCTCATGCCATCTGTGACAGTGTTTCACTAAGGTCTCCTGCTATCAAAGGTGGCTTTATGAGCTACACAATCAGGGATAGCATCGACTCCATCCGGAAAGGCTCCATACAAATGGTACACTCAAGTGATAGTATGTCAGTCAAGGCAAGTTGTCACACTATGCTTGCCCTTACACCAGCTCAATGTCAGAGCCAGCTGCATATATCCAGCTGTTTTTTTTCTCAAAAATTGCAGAGCTACAGTCATTCTACAACGAGGAAGCACCCAGTTCTGCAGCACACCTACAAGACAAAAGCACATGCTCTCACAAACCCTTTTAAGGTTAGATAATGATGTTTCTCAAGGCTATCTCCTCTCTGAGCATGACTAAGTTATCTCCTGGCTTTTTCCAGAGACTTTAAAAACTGAGTATCAATTTCAACATTAGCATGGAAGGCAGAGTTTTGAAAATATTATAAGTAACTAAAGCAAGTACAGAATGAAGCACAATATTTTAGCTTTATTTCTTGGAAAGTTACCAAACCCACAGAGTTCTGAATTACCTTTTTTATTCTCCTCCTTAGTATTTTACTTCTGTTTAAGCACAAATTCTGTTAAATCTTTTAACATACTTGCTGTTGTAAGTTTGCATATACATTACAGTTCTGTTTGTTTCTTTTGCCTTAGAATATATTCAGAGAACTGTTTTTTCCAGTAGCACTTTAGGACTTCTTTTGCCATAGAAGATACCAGTAAATAGAAGTCAAATGAGAACAGTGACAAACAATCAAAAAGGGAACTTTATTAGTCAAGCTCTAGTGAAACCATTAAGTGGTGTTTTGTTTCATATAAACTAATTATGCAAGGGAATAGTTAGTGATTCACACCCCTCCAACACA